AGGCGAGCAAGAAGAGACTGGCTAATTAGAAGAAACTTCTTAACAAGTAGACGCACTGAGCCCTCCCCCTTCCCTCTCTCTATCTCTCTTTCTCTCTCTCTCTCTCTCTTACGCAAACTCATTCGCTCACTTGCGGGTTCAGGTCGGTTATCCTTTGTTTTATTTTATGAATTGTTGCACATCATTTCTCATTGTAAGTTATGTTTATTTGACATATTAAATTTACACTTAAAATAAAACTGTATTTTAATACACACACGCATACACACACACACACACACACACACACACACACACACACACACACACACACACACACACACACACTTGTTGATATGCTCAACAATTTACACAAAACATAAACGGAAAGGAAAAGAGTGAACAACTAAAACCGAATAATGACGTTTGAAAGAATAAGGTTTAAAGAAAATTTGCGTATTTGAGCTGTTTTTTTGTTTTTGTTTGTTTGTCTTTTTTAAATAACGGCCATTTTTAAATTGACCTCCTGCAATAATTGGGCAACCTTGACCAGAGAGCCTGGGTAGAGTTATCAAGAGGCGGAGAAGTGGGTACACATCGGATTAAAAGCAGCACAAAGACCCCGTTGTTCTGCGCTTAAATCCCTTCCTGATCCCCAACATGCTCCGTTTGGCCCCTTCATTCATACATTCACCCTGAGCTTTAATAATAATAATAATAATAATAATAATAATAATAATAATAATAATAATAATAATAATAATAATAATAATAATAATAATAATAATAATAGTTTTCCAAAGCCAGCCAAAGGCACAAGCAAACTAGGCCGCTGTAGCCCTCTTTACAGGTTTTGAATAGGCCAGATTTTCGTGAATTTCTTGTTACGCTCCTGGTTTGGAGCCAAGTGATCCCGACAGTAAACCATGCTGCTTCTCCTTAAACCTGTGCTCTCTCCCTGCAGCAGGTAGTCTTGGTTTAGTTTAGCCTTGATGGGCTTCGGCTTATATGTTTCAGGCCAGGGATGAGCGGGCACACAATGGAGCAGACCTGCTCTGCAAGCAGATTACAGATGGTCACTTTATTTATTTATTTATTATCTTTTAGGGCAACACTTCCACAGGCCAACAAAGTCTGCTTGAAATATATTTTTTGAAAAGTTACTTTTGTTTCTCATCACTAACCAATCCGCTCATCCTCTTCATCTCTCTTTAGTAAATATCGCCAAAAATCTAGATATGAGGTTCATTTGTCAGATTAAAGGTACAATTTTAAAAGTTTAAATCTTTTAAATGGCATTAAACCTACTTTTCATTAAGGATACACTTCTGTTAAAAAAACATTTTGTATTGTTTTGATTTATGTTCTAATTTTAAATGTCATATTTTCATTGCCTGTAAGTTAAATATCGTCACAATTAAAGGCTTTCAAACATCCATTTGATGGATATATATTTCTAATTTAATGAAAATGATGAAGGGGTTAATTTAAAACGAATGAGTCTCAGTCAGTTTATGGTTGATCGCACCGAGATGAGATGTTTTGTTGTTGTTTTCGCGCTCGGGCTCCATGTTTCCATGTTTCCATGTTTCCATGTTTCCATGTTTCCTCCTCCTCTCCTCGGTTTCGTCCTTTATGGTTTTGCTTGTATCATCCTCTGCGGCGAGACAATTTTCCCAGTGTCCAAATCCGATTCTGCGCGCTTGTTAATTGAATCGGATTTCTTATAGTTTAAAATCCACACACACTCACACACATAGGCCCATGCAGCTAGTGCCCAAACTGTATAAGGGGTTTATCTGGCTGGGTAAAGCCAAAGCGGAGATATAAAGACACACCGAGAGCTGCGGGGAGATTCTACAGGCGTGTTTGAACGTTCCCAATGCTGGAGGAAAGTGTCTTGAGTCGATGCTGAAGGGAGGGAGTGTTGCTGTGGGTCAGTGGGTATGTTGGTGGGTGACTCTGGAGGCCTGCGTCCTTCCGACACTGGGAAACATCCAGTGGGAGCTTCACTTCGTTCACAGGTAGGCTGCGCTAATAATAATAATAATAATGTCTGATTTCTGTTTCCCCCCCTTGTGCTGCTTCGACACAGCAGCAGGTTGGACTGAGCTTACTGTCTGGAAAAAAATCTAAACGAGAAGAAGAAAAGAAACTTTGGAAACTGAGAGACCTCAAGGGAGCGCGCGGACCACGGAAGTGCGCATGCACTGTCGTGGTCCGCGCGCACTCCACTCTTTAAGTCTCCTCTGACGTCGTTTCTGTTCCACTCTGACCGGCAGCACGGGTCATAAGTCGTCCCTCTAAGATCAATCATAACAGTAAATGTTTTGCTAATACCATAAATCTTCTGTTAGATATTCAAACAAACAAAAAAATCAGCAAGATTACAATTACTCTTATGCGTGGTTCTACGGCTCGATCTGTCATTAGGCCCAGTCAGCCCGAGACACAAGCAAACTAAGCCTGCAAGTGTGAGACAGAATGTAGTTCTCATGTTTGTCTATAAAAATGGACAATCTTTCAATTTATGATGATTGTTTTTAGATAGCGAAAGATATAGCATAAGTTTCACAATTAAAACTTGAAACATTTATGATAAAATGTCCATTTTTAAATGAGCTTGCAATGTATTTACTGTACAATTAATACCAATGAATGCTGCTGCTCATATCTGCCCTTCCACATCTGGTAAAAGCTCTAATAATAATTCCCAGTTTATTGCAAATGCTTGTAAACGGTGGCTAATAAGCACAACTAATTTATTTTGACCAAATTCTTCCCACTAATTATACCAAGTGTTTAAATTAAACACTTGGTATAATTTGTTTAAATTATCTAGTTAAGATACTAAAGAGCATTGATTCCGTTTTGAAAGTGAATCATGTCTCCTTTTGCTGCATCAGTAAAACAGAATTCAAACATTATTTTATAAACATAGCATTCTTTTCAAGACCATTTTGACTAAATAGAACCTTATTACAATCTAAAGACGTTCATAGTTATTAGATTATTTCCATAAGATTAATTGATGATCTTGGATGATGGTGAGCTTTCAATGGCTTTTTCTTTTTCTCCCTGTTCTTGACAGTTTGAATGTCTGTATGCAAGGGTTAAGCTAGCTAGCATTGCCAGTCACATTCAGACCCTTCATCCTGACTTTACAGTCTCCATAAAAATACTGAACATCAGTTATTACTTATATCTCCACAAATAATTTGCTTCTCTCAGCTTTCGACACATTTAAAGTCAGATACTCTGATTAATAAAACTATATAGGTACAAATGCAAATGCTTATTGAAATATATTCTGTTGTACAATCAGTCAAATAAATTGTTTTTGGATTACAAGATAACTGTAAAACAAGCTGGGATCAATACGTAATGCTTAATGTTTCACACATAAATATTATTTTTATTTAAAAGAAAAACAGAAGTGTTGCAGTGATGGTCAATAAATTTAACCCAATTTTATGTAGCAATATTCTAAAACTTTGTGGCTTGTATATTTCTGACACTAATTTGGCTGCTGAATCATCTATTGAGTGACTTAAAATTATGCTTGAGGAAGTAAAGAAACATGTTCGATTTTATATAGTTGCATAAGGATAGTTTATGTTCTTTAAGTCTGTAGACTTTTTAAGTCAGTGAAAGCAAAAAACAAGGCACTTTAAAAGCCCAGAAAATGTTTCTTTCTTTATTAACGACAAGGACTTTGTAATATAAAATATCGAAATATGTTTTTAACGCAGGGATAAAATGCTACTTGTTTTAGGTTAAAATCTTAACCAATTTCTGGATGCCACAAGTGATAAAGTTAGGTTAGTCTTTCTGTCATTTCTGTTCCTTTTTAAATGTACTTTGCTTAATTTACTTTAATCCTGTGTGGAGTTTGGCATAAGACCAGTGCTAAATATTAATGCTCTTTGATCAAGATGGTGTATTTGAGGCGGCTGCTGTATGACAAGTGTTTCTGGGTTGTTTGAAGGAAATTGCTCCGAGATGAAGATCTGCTGGGTAATTCAGACGCGCTAGGACCCAGAGCAGAAGCAAATTAAGGACAAGCATCACATAAGAGGCTTAGTGCATCTAATCTATATTGCTACACACAGAAACTCACAGACACACACACAGACACACACACAGCATTTCATAAACATCCCATTTTGCAACAAGCACGCATTCATGTCCCCAAAGGCGAGTGTTGCCATTGTGTTTTCATTTAGTTTTTCATTTTCTCCAAACTCTTTTATTCCCCATTGCTGACCTAAGCTTCCATCTCGTATTGTTGGAGAACTTTTGCCCAGATGCTGTCCTGCTCCTCTCATCCTTTTTCATTAGCAGACGGCCTTCGATGAACTAAGAAGCCAGGAGCAAACTCATTTGTTGCAGACAATTATAGTCAGAAAAGCAAAAAAAAAAAAAAAAAACACACTCAGGAAAGCTTCCTTATCTTTCCAATGAGCGTCTGAGTGATTCATCTGCCTGTTTCACTGTTAAATCAGCTGAACAATCACTGCAGCGGGTCGACAAATGAAAAAAAGGATTTCAAGCAGAAATGAAAATGAAGTTTGACTAAGTCATGGCTTCTGAACAATCATGCTAATGAAATTATCCTTCCATCCAGCCTGAACAGAAAATGCAATTTTCTTTGTTTTCCAGTGTCCCTGGAGAACATTTACCCAGAATTCCTCCTGCTAACATGGCTAGATACTCAGTATTCATTCTGATACCTGAGTTTGATTCTGACTGTAAGAACAACAGAAGAGCAGCCGCCATGAGGCGTGCTGGTATGGATCAGAAACTCCTTCTGAATCTGAATCCTAAAACAGCCATTCCCAGCTGTTCGATCGTGTTTTTTTGGGTTTTTTTGTATGTCTGTGTGCGCAATGTGTACTTATGTTGCATGTGGGAGTGTGTGAGACATTTACGCGCTCATGCACGCAAACACCCACATACACACACACACACTCGTGCACTGAGTTCAGCCGATTTATCATAATATGCTTTATCTGAAAAGTAAGTATCTTACCTCGGGATAAAGGGAGGAAAGAGGGGTTTGTGGCCAGATTGACAGAGGAAGGGTGAACGGATAGAGCCGAGCAGAGCGCTCGCTGCTCTGGAGCGAAGAGCTGGACTTTTAGTTCGGTGGCTGGATTGATCAGAACTGAGAAGGTAACTGGGCTTGTTGGGATGGGAGGAAAAAGAGCGGGCAGCAGTGGTGTGTGTGCGTGTGTGAGAGAGAAAGAGAGTGGACAGCAGACTGATGCTTGGATGAAAAGGAAGCAGTGTGGTCTCAGAGAGGGACAGACTCAGGTAGCACTTCCTCCACCTGGAGGAAGTTGAGTTATACGGGGTGGGGTAGAAGGAAGGACAAGTGGAGACGTGTGAAGATGATAAATCAGGAGAAGTAAGTGGGAGAGGAACAGATGGGTGAAGGGGGAGCATGGGAGGGGCATCGGGACTGGACCATGAGCTCTCTGAGGGTCTTTACCTTCACATAGAGAATATTCACACAGAAACTCAGTTGAATTGATATGATTTGTTTTCTAATGTCATCCTGCCGTTGAGCTTGTACTGAGTTATAAAAGCTGCAGGGTTTGCATGTGTGTGTGTGCGTGTGTGTGTGTTTGGAGTGTGTATTGAGGTCAGTGTGTGTTAGCTCCTCATTTAGGAGATGTGAGGATTACCCAGCATGAGTTCAGGCCGCGCCATGTGTCTCTGCACCCGGACCGCCTACGTCTCCTATAGCCACAGAAACATAACCACATGAAATGGAGGTTCTCACGCTGCCTATAGGTTATACTGCTGTGTTAGTGCACAGTGCATGCCTGTGGAGTACAGACTTGCCTATGCATGGGCTTTTGTTTACGTGCACATCCATCTGGAGGGATTTAGGGTATGAGCAGTCTGGCATGAGTCTGGGCTAAAGATAAACTGCAGGTTGTTTATATAATGAGGAACTAACTGACTGTATACAGTTTGGTGTCTAGATGAAGCTTGAAGGATCACTGAGAATTGAGTTTGTCTCCATTTCACCAGCAGAACTGCTATACAGTAAAACCCATCGGGATTTAACGGGATTTTTGTGCAATAAATACAGAGTAGCCCATGAAAGTGATGCATGAGTTTGAAAACGTGCTGTGAACAAAAATCTGAAACGTTTGCTATGCATTTGTATTAAGTTCACTTTATTCTGACACCCCTAGATAAAATCTAGTTTTACATCCCATCTAAAGCAACAGGTTAGTCAAGGAGAGAATCAGTCAGAGAAGCAGCCAGGAGGCCTACGGTAGCTCAGGAGGAGCTCCAGAGATGCATGGCTCATCTGGGCAAAAACTAGTGACACAATGTGAAAACCCAAAAACTCAAGGAGTGTTATTATGTTTGGAAGGCACTTTTTTATTAATCAAATAATTATTATGGACATTAGTTGAATGAATCTTTCTAAAGCAAAGACATGTATATTTAGGAGGCTAAAAGTATGAATAATCTGCTGAAGTTCAAAAGCAATTATGTTTCACATATTTATAAAGTTTAAGCAAATGTGCTATACTCATAATGCCAGAACACAAAGGATATGAAATATACTAATGATATAATTAAAGTATAATTTTTGTTTTAGTCTAATGGGATGGGATGTAATTATTAACATTTTAAATATATTTTTTAAAATCTTTCTGACATTTGTGAAATAAACTAATCTAGTCTTGAACTTTATTCAAGTTTTAACTTGAATAAAGTCGAATCTCTTTTTGAAGGTTTTGTTAGTATATATAAAGTCACAGTGAAAACATTTTTTCTGGTTTGTTTCTGGGAAATAAAATTAGATTGTTTATTTTTGTAAACTTCAAGCATCCTGTAGCATTTCTCTTCAACAGTTCCCAGACTAATTTAATGCAGCATTGCCTCTACATGTCAGCTATTTGCTGAAAGCCGCTAATGTGAACTACCTTCTAAAGAGAACAGGCCATCTTTCCACACGTCTTCTTTAGGCTGTACCAGAGGACGTATTGGACGGAGGACGGGGCTGGGGATCAATACCAGTACAGCTTCATCTTTAAATAATGTCTGACAAGCATCTTGATCAATTTCACAGACTGCAGCCCCCCCGATGTGTGCATGTGTGTGTCCTGCTGTCTTTTAAGAGTAGACAGATTTCTAATCCGCTAGAGACAACAGCAGGTTGGGTCTGCACGCTGTGTGAGTTTGTGTGTGTGTTTGTTAACTGACATCATTTTACCCCCTCCTTGATCAGTGTCTGGGGTTTTAGCTTGTTAACACCTGTTCATGCCGTCATACTCATACACTGCAATAAAGGAGTTAAAGAAATTGTCGCTGCATCTGTAGAACCAGACAGTTTAAATGAAACCTTTATATATTTAAAAATATCACATTGGAGAAAAGCATGTGATTCATACATTCTGACAGCAAAAAAAAATTTTTTTTTGGCAATCAAATACATTTTTAACAAACTATTCATACCAGCCTGAATACTGAAAAAACTTAAAGGAAAGAATCCTGCAAACATCCGGCTGTATGAATAGATTTAAACTGCAGAAAAACACACACCCATTAGGTTGTTGAGGCCAAAGATCATGCAGGCACTACTGCATCATGAAAATCTCGATATGTGTGCCTGCGAGACATCTGAGTCTCACATGCAGAGAAATAAGTGCCAGAATGTGTGTGTTATCTCTCAGAGAATAGGAAAGTTGCTGTAGGTGAGATGATGTCCAGTAGTTTGAACCCCATCAGCACCAGCAGTCCCCTTCCCCCAACCTGCACCCTCATCACCCCATATGGGAGGAGGCAGCAGTAGTAATCATGGAAGTGGAGCAACAGGCTCTGAGCCTCACTAATCCCTGGCCACACTTCGACACGTGCCACACTGGTGCATACGCTCGCCCTGCGCACACTCACAAATGGCTATTGAATTGAGGGACCTGATTTTAATACTCACTTACACATCTGAACAATAGACATGGCAAGCACATTGCAGATGACTCATAAACAGAGCAGAGTGATAATGACTGCAGTGTTTTATTATAACATCAGGTTTGATTGCAGCTGGTTGATGGAGAGGATCAGCTTCAAGTTGCCTCATTAACTGTGCCAAATACACTTTGTTGGATCTGCAGCCACAAATCGCCAAGCTGTCCCCAAATTACACTTTTATCTTTTTGCTGTTTATTTTTAAACCAACTTGTCTTTAATGAATAAGAGCTAGCACACCCATCAATGCAACACCACACTGAGTCCTAATTGACCACTGGAGAGCACCTTGCCTTATTGCGCACACAAAGGCGCTTGCACTCGTGCACTGACTGCATCACGTACGCACACACATACAACCTTTTAACTGTGACGCACAAGGAGACAGGGCCACAATGGCTCTCTTATTGTTAATTGGCTGCTTAATCCTGAGGAATGCTTGTGATTAGAACCTGGTGGTGGGTCAGGATCTTGCTCAACACTCTCGTCCACAATAGGCGAGCTGTAACAGAGATCTGTGATGGAGCACACACACCCGCGCACGCAGTCACATGCAGAGAAATAAGTGCCAACATTAATATTTGCATAAAGAAATGCAGAGTTGAGTATAAATGTTGGTGCTTGTAGACCTGAAAGTGGCATGAGAGTTCTAATCATAGCCTCAAAAAAGTGAATGCACACAGAAATCTGCCCCATAAAACCAACTTGTTTGTGACTTAGAAGTCAGGTTTTCTAGGTTTTATTATCAATCCTAACCTCAAATTCCAAAATGGCTGCCTTGCATCAGTGTAAAAGTTGTTACCATGTGTAGGTTAATAGCAGTGTAATTCAATAAACATTAGATATAAGCACATGAGTTATTATTTCAGATTAAATATGATTGCTTAAATTAATATTAAGTTAGATACAACCTCATTTAACCCATCATACTAATAGTACTGAATAATATGCAACATCCTTAATAACATTAAGGATGCCATGGTCTTCGGTAGGACAAATCTGTGAGAAATGAGGTTAATTTACATTATAGTTGGTTGGTTGGTTTTTTGGTTCAGATCCACAAATCACAGACTGCTTTAAGGAATCAGTTTAATTATTATTGTACCGCCAAAAAAGGAGTTCCTATGTTTTCATAATTTTAAATAAAAGTTTCATAAACATGTAAATGTTATGTTTAAGGAATTTCTATCCATTTGTTCTCCATGAGAACAGTGAAATTCTCCTTTAGGTAAGCTGTATAACAGTTTAGCATTGCTTGTTGCTAACAGGTAGCTGGTCACCAGGTTCTTGGTGGTTACAGATTGTCTGTTGACGTCTTTTATTCCACCGATACAGCCACACAGACTATATGAAAATGGTGGGAAAAGACTAAGTCTCAAGTGTTGCTGGACATTCTAATAAGAAGTCTTTTTGGTAGACTCATTCTGCACAACAATGGAACCACAATAATCAACTTCCTTTCTTACTTCAAAGTAAGAGTTTCAAACACTATAGACCACCTCATCAGACTTAACAGCTGGATTACAAAGTGCACAACAGATTTCATTTGTTTCGAAATATGGTTTAATATTGTTTTAATTATGCAAGATCTTTGCTGTGAGACACTGAGAGTCTAGACTAGAGCCCCCTGGCTGTCTGCTTTGCAACCTGCTTCCAACTGGGATGATGTTCCAAGTAATCCAAGATTGAACTTCTTTGGATCTACTGAAAATAAACCTCACCTTGTTGCAGAAGAACTTTGTGGTAAACAGCTGTCAGTAAATGAAATAACTTTTCAACTCTGGTCACACCGATCAGAGACGACTTATGCTACATTGTGTCTCAGTTTTTGAAGAAATCTTGACTGCATTTAATCAGCTGCACTCCACACTAAACAGTGAGTCAGTGAAACACTAATTTATTTACAGAGCCTTAATTAAATTTGGAGGGAAAAATGAAATAAATGCATCACCTCTAACCATGTATCATGTTCATTAGCAACATTCATGACATACTGCATTATCTCATCTTGTGTATGTACTACAATTAATGTACAAATTATAATTCATGTATTTGTCATATAGTTTATCATTTCAGTATTACAGTATTATGTTGTATATTATCAGACCAAACTGCACCATATGATGTTGCATTATGTTATAACAGAACATAACATTGTATAGCAGCACAAAATATGACATAATATAACATTAGCATGACATAGCATAGCATAAAATAGCATAACATAACGTAATGCAACAGGATAATATAATAAAACAATGATCAAAGATTTTTTGATCATGTCAAAACTACATAACAGTAGCCTAGATGAGAGAAAATAAAAACATAAATGCCAACTTTAAGTTCATGTTTTCTCATAATTTATTGGTCAAAAACAAATTCCTTAAGTTAGGATTGACAGCAAAATGTAAAAATTAATCTTTTGTTTGATTACATGAATTGTGGTTTTCTCAGAGATCAGTTGAAAAAAAAAAGATTTTGTATTTTTTTAGGGCCTCAGGAAGTTCAAAAGTTTGAAGAATTAAGAATTTATTTAGAAGCACTACAGCTGAATGTCATCGGCTTAAAAACAATATGATATATAATGTAATATGTTAATGATCCGTCCAACAAGGGGTTTTAGAATAAAACAAGAAGTTAGTCGAAAACGGAGCCAGGATTCTACATCGGTAGAATGATGTGACTCATGCAGACACAGAGGTTTCTGTTTGAAGGGTAAAATCTAAACAACTTCTCACGATTGAACAAAAAGAAAAGATATTTTGCAGTTGGAAAGTTGTGGGATTCAATTGCAGTTCCTCCTATGAGTCAGGTGCAGAGTAAAGTGTTCAACTCTGAGATAATATTGTCATTCTCTTTAATAGAATAAACAAAAACCCTTATGTTGTTGCCTATTTAGTCTATCTCTGTCACTTCCTAATTTTCAACCATTAGCTAACATAACGCTTATAACAGAGGCATTTGTGGATTTTAAGGGAGTTCAAAGTAATTATGTTGAAGAGTCTAAAAATTGTATTGCTCTAAAAGATTTCTGGGTTTTGTTTTGGAGTCAGTATGTAGTCGGCATGCAGTGCTGCCCACTGACCCCTTTGCCTCTTCATGTTCTCTGTAAACTCACTTGCAGAAATATGAGACAGTGTGACAGAACGGCAGTTTAACCGCCCCGCCACTGCAGACAAAAAACAAACACACAAAAGAGAAAAGAATTACAAGACAGACTGGTTACAGGTAGACGCATAGTTAGGGTCTCTGTGAGTGCGTGTGGTTGCGTGTGTGTACGCGCATGTGTGTGTGTGTGTGTGTGTTCTGGAGGAGGTCTAGCCAGGCTGCATCACTGCTGACACACTGCTGCTGGTAAATCCAGCTTAGTGTGTCTAAAACAGGCCTTCAAAATCTGCCACAGGGCACCTAATGCAAGGGCCGCTGTCACCCGCAATCACTCACACACACCTAATCCCCACGCTGTGACCCAACACATCCACACATGCAGACACAGACCCACACATGGCCAATGCTCTGGGTCCCACTCAGCTTGGCGAGCTTGTCCCAGTACCAGGAAACACCAGCCACAGGGTCAACATTTCATGCAGGGGGGTTGGAGGGAGAGGGCATAAAGGCTGTGTTGCTGTGTGGCCGGGTATTAGGACCAGGAGAGGTTCAAGCAAAGGGTTAAGAGACGTGTGGAGGTGGTAATGGAGGTGGAAGCAGCCAGAGGAGTGGAGAGTCTGTGGGTTGAGGTTTTAAGGGGCAACTAGGTCTGTGGTCCGAGGAGGTGGCCCAAGAGTGAGAGCTGAAGCAGGAGAACACCTCTGAATTATAAAGCTAAAGCAGAGAAAACAAGCTTGAAAGAAGTTTACAAAAATTAACAACATTAACAGCATAATTTGAAACAGTTCCATGCAACAGACACGTTGAATTAATGACAAAATTAGACATTCGACTTGCTGTAGTTTTACTAAAGCCAGGAATGTAATGCGTTAATTAATTATGTAGCTGCTAATTAATTTTTTTAGACATGCAAAGATTCTGCCTGGAAACCCAAGCAGAAGGTTTGCAGGCAGAACGGCTGGAACTCGTGCCGTTCTGGTACGACGAGAGCAACAGCAACGGATGACGAAGCTGTTCTTTGCTCGCTGGGGGTTCATTTTGGCTTCTGAATACAATCTGATTGAACGCTGGAAAAGACTATTGTTGTGGGCAAGTTGTGCAAAACGTTAGCCAATCACTGCAGCTACTCAAGCCTGAAATACCATTTTAATGTAAAACATGTTGTGACAAGTAAAGATGTCCCAAAGACTAATGTCAGCGTCCACAGTCCACATTTCTAAAGAAATATTTTTTTTCAAAGAATATACATGAATGAGCAGGGATTCCTGAAACACTTTGCACCAAACTGATGGCTTAAAAACCTAAACAACAAAGTGAAACAATAAATATGTTTGTATTGATCTCATACAGATACTTATTAAATACTTTAACTGCAAAAGTGACTTTTTCAGTGAAAATGTTGCTTATTTTCTACTTTTAAAGTTTTAAATTAACATGTGATTATTTATAAAGGGAGAATGAATGTATAGATCGATGGTCTAAAGTAGTTTTACGTTGTACAATTCTGTGTAAAATTGGGATTTGCAAAAGATGTTGTGATTTTCATTTTCCCATGACATGGAAGTTTTTTTCAGATTCACTGAAAAATGCAAAAACGTTTCCAAAGTTTAATTCTTGTTGTAAGTCCCCAAAAACTATTTTTTATTGAAATCGTCAAATATGAACCTGAATTAAAAACCACCTGAAGGGACAAAGATTTCAAATGGGCTTCAGCATTTCAGAGAAAAAAACTTGAAGCAGGAAATTTATATAAAAAATTGATTAAATTACTCTCCTGCACAGACAGAATTATTGTCTTTCGTGGGTTCTTTGTATTTCTCTGTGCTGCTGCAAAGGAAACACATCAAACAGCTTCTCATGTGTATTTTTATTTTTCAGGTTTCAGTGAAGACAGTGAGGATAAAGAGTTCAGCATGGCAATAACTTCAACATCAACCTCATCTTCAGCTAATAGTAGGAAAACCAAAGGTGTAAGATCACTGTATTGTTTTATTTGAAACTGTGTAGTCAAGTTGGACTCATGGAATTAAAGCAGGAAATTTTCATATGACAGACGTTTTATTTTTCCAGATTTATTTATTTTTTTACATAAATTATCAAAAAAGTAAGGCAGGACACTAAATCCAATTAGGAAGTTTCGCATATTCAGTGAGACCAGCAGGTCTTCTGGCTGCTGTCTGATGCTCATAGGAGCAGAGCTCTCATATTATGTCCCACCTGTGTTTGCAAACAAAATCATGATCCACTCTTGGAATACACCAAGAGTTTTTAAATCCTGTTATTTAAAGGTTGTGTAAAACTAAACATGTATGACACCAGTCAAAGTTGTTGACATGTATCTTTAGCTAAATAAAAGCTTTCCAACATTTGTTTTGTCACTGGATTTTGTTCATGTATAAGATTATTGTTTTCCTTTCCTTATTATTTAAATCAGACTTACTCTGATACCTGCCCTAAACCTAACTGTTACCTGTGCACCTAACCCAAGCCTAATCCTAAACTCATTTCAATGCAAACACTAAAACTGGTGGTCCGCCACACTAAGAACGGGCTTTGGAAGCAACAAGATTACACCAGAAAAGGTCCTAAAGGGGCAACATAAACAAGCACATACACATTTAGAAGGATAAGAAGTTTAAATGTTGACCTGAGTCCAAATAGAGGTCTGTAAATAGGCAAGTAAACAGGAATTATGAAAGGGTGTGAAGGTGACTTTATGCACAACACTGCCACCTGGTGGTCGCATAAAGTAGTTCAGCTCGATGACATCCTGTCACGAACTAACTGGAATTAATGTGTACTTAATGCTTACAAACATCAGTTATCTTTTTAATTCATAAGAACAGTTTTCTTACTTTCATAATGAACCTTCCTATTAAATGATCTCATATAAAATTAAGACAGCACACCGATTATTCTGTTTTCTAGCCTGTTTTATTATGAAGTGTTGCTACAGAGGTGGAATAAGTTCCCTGGTTGATGAATTTAGAAGGGTCTAAAGAAACAGTCTCAAATAAGATGTTGGATTGTTGCAGTGGGTTTTATCATTAAAACCTCACTGGAGTTGTCAGCTGAATTGAACCTGTTCCAACAGCATTTCATTATCAGATGCACATGATCCATCCTCCTGACACAGAGAAAAGGATGCCGTTTGCTGTTTTCAGACTGCGATCGGCGGTGCAGCTGCATTGAACATGAAATGCCGTGAAGCACAGGTGTCAAACTCGAGGTTCGCAATCCAAAGCCGGCCCACTGCAGCGATCTCTAGACTCAAGAAGGTTAAGTACACTGAACTTTAAGATAACAGTTGTTTAAGTATATTATCAGGGAAGTAAAATCTATTTGCATTTGTATAAGATCAAATTACATCAATGTGAGAAAAATTTTTAAAAAGTTGTTACATTTTAAAACGTAAATTACAAATTTTAACAGTTTGCTTATGGGTAGTTTTTAGTAATACATTCTGCCACAACCAGCCCTTTGAGGACACTCATGATCTTGACGCGGCTCAAAATGAAAATGAGTTTGACACCCCTACTAAAGAATCACCGACTGCTGCCAGTGAGGACGCCTCTACTCTCGCTCTGCTATGGCAACCAGGTGGGTTTCGATCTCTGCCTCCGACAGGGTCCTGCAGAAAGGTGAGGATTAAACAGTTTTATAAGATGCACAGCATTTATATGTCATTTATGATCATAAAGTGACAAAATTTGAAGAAAATCAAAGAGCTTCTGTAAGACATTCTGAAAGTTTCAGAAACACAAAGTACATTTGATTCTATTAACATTGTAATTTTATTTTATTTTTTTACCAAAACGGCATTATTTATTAAGCTTAGCCTGTTTGAACATTTTATAAAGTTGGTCATTAAAAATTGTTTTGAGCCACATTTGTGATTTTGTTAACCTTTTGTGACAAAATAAGGTTTAGAAATTAACAGGTCAGTACACTTTTTAAAGAAATTGTACTTTACAGAAAAAGAATCTATCATGATCATAGAATCATTACCTGAACTTAGGCTTGTCTTTGGTCACTACACCGATCTCCAGCTCAGTGGCCTTGAAGTCCATCGACAGCACAGAGGCCAGACAAGATATGGCCATCTGCAGTAAGAACAGAAAATTAATAAAAGAAATTAAACAGGAGAAAACCAAACAAATAAAATGAATTAATACATCAATCAACCAGCTCTTCACATTGTTCTCAGCATTTTAATGTTATTCTAGGGACAGATTTCTGGTCTCATTTTTTTGTTCCGATGCATTTTAATGACCAAACTGAGTCCTTAACAAACTCCTCCATTGATTTTTGACCCATTTTCAAAGCTTAAATGAAAAGTTCTAACTTTCATAATACTGAATGTGTTTTTGCTGATGGTGTTTTTTATAAAAAGAATGAAGACCATCGTGGTCCAGTCGTACCTGTACTGCCCTGTCATGGCTCAACTCTGGCTTCTTCTTGAGTTTCTTCTCTAAGTAGCTGTTGGCCTCCGTCTGTTTGGCCCCGACCGCCGTGGCCCTGAAGCCGCAATAGTATCCTGCCGGGTCACATTTATACAAGACGGGGCCGTGCTGGGGGTCCATCGCCACCAGGATCATACCTACAGGGATTGACAGGAAAGATTTTAGAAACAGAACAGAATAACGAGACTTTAAATAAGCCCACAGTCCCTGTAAATGTTAATCATCCAGTTTGTTTTTACCTTTTTATTCAAAAATCAATTATAATCAAGAAATGTGACTTTTTTGACAAAAAAGACCCCACCTCTATAAGGACAAAGTGACAACTGATTTCTACAAAATTTTATTTATGGTTTCTTATGCTTTTTATTGTATTTCTGACACATTTTATATTGAGAAATAAAATAAAAGTTAAGGAGAAATAAAAGCCGTCACTCACAGCAGCCTAGTGGTCTCATCTCTGCATTCTGTGTGTACACCTGGGAAATATCCGCCAGTCTGCGACACAACACGTCCGCTGTGATGTCATAGCCAAACTTATATTTCCATTCTCCGGCCTCCACTCGGGCCCGGTGAACCTGTGAGCGGCTGTCCGCTATAGAAGACAAGCGACCAAGTTTGAAACCCTGCATCTTTAAAGTAAAAACCAGTGGCAAAGAAGATCACAGGGATATGTAACAGACGGTACGAGGGTTGCAACTACTGATTTCTATTATTTTAGAAATTGATTAATCTGACCATTAATTGGATAAAAAATTCTACACATTCTGCAGATTTTTTTTAAACCACCTGTTCCTATTTTTAGACAATATTAGAAGTACATTGGAATATGCAATAAACAAATTATACAGTTGTTTTTTACATAAGAAAATAAACATTTCATTGACTAAAATGCAATAGCAGCATTCCTTTAGCAAATTATATATCTGCGGTTAAAAAATCCCCCAAAATTTCCAAAATCTACGTGTACAGTTTTTGTGTAATCAGTGCTCTGAATATGTTGTTCTTTCAGAAAATGGCCTTTTTTTTGAGTCTGTATGCTCAAGTTAGTTGACGATTATTTCAGTAATAGATTCATCACGATTAATTCTACTAGTTGCATCATCCCTCGTTGGTACGCACCGTTGTGGCCCGTCATCACACAGCCGATACGAGGGGTTAGATGGAACATGTTGGTCACAGTGGAGGAGTCCAGCAGCTTGTCCTACAGTCAAAGGAAAGCAAGAAATATCCACTTTAATCAGGTAATTCTCTGTAGATGTGAGTTCAATTCAAAAATATGAAAGTATGCTGGATAATCTACATAAGTTTTACCATATTACCTGACCAAATGAGCTAAAAATGGTTCTGTGTTGTAATGTGAGTGACACACTGTTGCAGGTAGGATCAGCTTCATAAAGTAGCATTGTGTTCCAGCTTTTTGCTGACTTGAGCAGTGTATAGCTTCACTGGCTCCAGCTCAACCACAAGGCCTGCGTTTGTGTGTGTGTGTGTGTTTGTGTCAGATATCCTACCGGTACTTTCTTTTGCGTCACCACCACCACACTGTCCGACCCTCGGATTCCGACAGATGTCAGCCCACTCTGAGAGATGGCTTTGAAGGCATACTCTGCATGGGAGCACACCAGTACACACAATGAGGAAAGACGGCAGGGCGTGTAAACATTTACCATTTTAAAATGTAAAACTTTGATGTCAAGGACAAATATTTGAAATAAACTGATCCCATCAGCACAAACATGGACGCTGATCAAATTATGGACACCGAGATTCAGATCTAGGTTTTGACTAGGCCATTTGACCATAATCATGCATTGATTTGTTCCATAAAAACAAAAAAATGTAACTGAAATATTCTATTGTTAATTAAGAAATATTCATATATAGAGTATTGTTCTGAAAATTAATATTGAGAAACTTTGAGCCAGAATTAGAGACAGATACATATGTTCGTGTCAAGGATTTTTACTAAACATATTTCCACAAGTATCTATTCTAATTGTTTCTCTCTGAAGAAATTTGACTTATTTGCACTTAAAAATATAAAAGTCAACCTTTTCTTTACATTAGATTCCAACTTTGAGATGTCTAAATGAAATCAAGATCTGGTCTTTGACTCCAGATCTGCTTCAGCTTTTATTTCTTTACAGACTGTTTCACTTTTTCCTCCAATATAAAGTAAAATTTCTGTTCAAGTTCTGCTGCAGCAAATCCTCCCCGAACCATCACGCGTCTAGCTCCATGCTTCGCAGTTGGTAGGATTTTCTTTTTGTTTTTCCTCAAATGCTGTTTTTGTTTTATGTCAAATATGTCTTCTGACCTTGGTGACCAAATAATTAAAAATCAGAGTCACCGTAAACAGGTTTACACACCTCATATGAAAGTTAGACATATGTAGTGCCATTATTTTTAATCTGTTGCAGTTTGGAGGAGGTTTTCTGTCATTATTGCAGTGTATTTTACACCTTTTACGTTCCAATAAACTCTGACTGACTTTCTTGCAGTTGCGCTATACTGTTTTCACTGACAGATGAATTAAACGGTGCTCTATGAGAAAATCAAAACTTGTCATTTTGTTTTATGAATTAAATCAGCCTTAAAGTTTGTCCCTGACCTATCTTAATGATGCTGTTCGTTCACTAATGTTCCCAAATAACCTCTGAGGCCTTCAGAAAACAGCTAAGTTTATGCTGAAAAAATATTAAACACACACAACAATCTTATATATGTGGAATAATGTATCTGGTTGACCAAAAGGTAGTTGATGGTACTTGATTTAATTTAAGGGGAACAAAATAGAGGATTCAGAATACAAGTGCACACCACACTTTTCAGTAAAACTTAAAATTAAAACCACGTGTCATTTTCAAGCATACTTTTCCAGAGGACTGGATGTAACATAAAATCGCTCTAATTCATGCGCATGGGTAATAATAAGATTAAATTCCCTGAGTAAGAGAGAGAGCAGAATTAGAAATACTGTGTGTCATCTAATTTTTGTGGAATAATGTATCTGGTTGCCACATTTTAGCAGGTAAAGCTGCATGTATTCACATGAACTCAGGGTCAGGAGGCAGCGTTTGGCCCACAGCCTGCTGTTCTTGTGCTGACTGAAGCCTCCGAGCCTTAAACCGTGATGACAGGCGGCCAAACCTGGCAACCTGGACGCTTCTGTAATGTTTTAAAGCTGCTGTTTACGGTTATATGTGCCGTCAATAACATTAAGTGTTAAAAATAAACTTCAAAATCAAAAATCCCGCGTGTAGTTTAGAAGATACAGGTGAAAGTTTGATGCTAACACAGCATTCAGACACGAACCAGTTCACCTAACTGCCAACACCGAGTTTATGTCTCACTGAAAGTTAACAAGAGCCTTTATTACGAAGTGCAGCCGCAGCAGCGTCCCTCTGACAGACGGCAATCATACGCAGGTGTGTTAGTGTCGGCTGATATACCAGAAACAGGTCCTTACCGACTTGGTAGAGTCGGCCCTCTGGTGAAAAAATGGTGATGTGTCGGTCAAAACCAGCGTTCGAGCCGCGGGACATTTTCCTCCTCCGGTCTGACCTCAGATGAACTCGGCGGGGGGTCTGGTTTGACCTGCGTCGGGTCGGATAGTCGATAAATGTAAAACGTTTGGGAACTAACAGTCAGGAAACAGCATGGCTGCGCTGTCGCTGAATGATAAAGCAGGATAATGGAGTTACTTCCCTGAGTTTTTTTTTCTTTTTTACTTTCTCTTTCAGTTACATTTCAGAGCCGCTCCGTTCCTCTCTCGCTCATTGGGCGGCGACAAGGAAACAAGGAGGTTTTTCACCTGACTAACAGGTGGCCATTTTAGGAGTGTCAAACACGAACGATGCGCTTAAAGGTGGGAGACATTAAGGACTCTCATTCCTCCTGACCTCCAACCTCTCTTTCTGGAGGCCTGCTGGGTCCGCAGGGTTTTTCCGCCAGGGGCGGATCCACGGAGATTTCCAAGGGGGCCCATTTTCTGCCCCTCAGTGGGAAAATGTCCATGTATAAGGAATAGCAATAACAAAGAATGGGTCTAAAAACATTAAGCTGTATAATTACAAAAGAAAAAAAAAAAAAAGACAGATATAGATCCTAAAGTATTGCTGCATTAAGTGAAACTGTTCACAGTGTCTATTTATTTAGGATAAACAGGTTGCTACTCTTTCGTAATTCTTTTTGGGGGAAAAGAGTTTTGGAAATGTTTTACAACACCATATTTTGTATTTTTACATCATTAGTATTATTCTGATTATACTCTTACTCCAGTAAAAATTCTGGATATTCTGTACTCACTTTCAGTATCCAACATTTGTTACGTTTATTCACTTTATTGGAAACATACCTGAGTAACATACCAGTAACAAACCAATAATGTTCCAGGCACAAACCTACATTTCATGTTAGAGTGAAATTTCTTGTTTCTACACAAGCTTTGTTGGTCAAATAAAAATATATTCTATCTGCTGAGCCATTTAGAGATCAAGTGAATTAAATACTTAGAACTTGTCACTAAAAGTACTTTACCTTTTTCTAAATACAATACCTAGTGTTGTTTCTCATGATTTATATTTAACGGCACAGACAATGAACTTTCAGTCATCCATATGACCATCCTTTCGTTTGACCACCTTAAAAAGCACAGGCTCCATTATTTTATTGAAATAAAATAGCTCCCATTGATTGAGCTCCTTAGAAAAAACATCTCCAGTGGGATTTGCTTATGCCAGGAATTAATTTTGTGGTTGACTGTGTCAAAAGTCTTCTTTAGGTCCAGAAATACAAGCATCCATATCTCCTTGGTCCAATTATATGTCAGGTTAATGCAGTTTCTACAGCCATCTCAGACACTGACGACGGATTAGAAGTTTGAGGACAAACAAAAGTTGAAATAAATAGGCCACACAGAATGGTTTGATACATGGTTTATTGATTGACAGATAGCATAGAGAAGGATACAGCAGGCACAAAATACAGCACTGTGATTGACCAGTAATATTGCAAATGATATATATGGTATCAGTTTCTGTTTACTTCATCTATTCAGATTATTCTCTGGACTCCCCCATTCCCCAACTTAAAAAAAGTTCATTTTTTTTGCTTGCTTGCTGGCTTCTAGGGTTACATTTTGTGGAAAAAATGCTTCACTTCTATATAAAAAAGAAAAATATAGTACATTCATTGCAGATTTGGAAACAGGTTTCTTTGGAGAAGATTGTATTAGTATTATTAGCTTATTACTTAAAAGATCATACAACCTGGCCTACTATTTTACCAGTGTTTAAACACATGCATGTGCTGTAATCTTGGCTTTATAAAGACGGAGGGAGTATATTTGCTAAAGGAATACCTAATGATGCATTTCGATTACATATTAAATACACTTGGCTAGTTATTGCATTCACATGTGCTATAATCTATATTGCATTATTGCAGCAAGTGGGCCTCCATTGCTAACTTGGTTAATCCCTGTTCGTTTTGCATGTCTACCCAGTCTCCTCCCGGGGAAGCTGTTGCTCCACATCTCATATAATGTTGGCTGAAGGCGCTCATGTAATATTGACACAAACGGGGTGAAAACTACAGACTTTTAAATGTTATTGTTGCTGTTACTAGAAGACAACACATGGCTTTAAAGTGTCCCTCCACCTTTCTTCGATTGCTCCTTGGCGTGTTGAGAGTGCAAAGCTGGATTAGAACCCCAAGTGACACTTTTAGACCTTTTAAGCTCTGAGTGCATTGCTATTCTGTCACCGCACCACCTATCACACCAAAGACAAACCTACCTTGGGTGTGCAACATTATAGTTAATGGCGAATTTGGCTCGGGCCACTGGGGTTCGTCACAAACAGTCTGGTTTTAACAGTGCGTGAGCCAAATTAATTCATGCTTCTACTGGACCATCAAAGAAATGAAGAGGAAGTAATGACTTATTCCTAATAAGAGCATTGTTGCTGATAACAGTCAGACGGCATGAACTTAGTCATCAGTTATTGCACTAAATATCTACAAATGACCAACAGGGAAGCCGGTCGGTATTCCCCGAAAAACACAATTCAAACAAAAGTTAGAAGAGCAGGAATTTCTAGTATTGTGCATTCAAAATAACATTTGAATGAAAGTGCATGAGCTTGTGAAAGTGCAACTAATTGAAAAATACCCTGTCTTTGTTACAAACAGCATTTACCAGCACACAGACAGGGAAACCAGAGATGGACGTGAACCTGCAGAATCTCCAGAGGGCCACCTCATTCAGCTGAGGAAACTGAGACGGATCCATCCAGGCAATCTAACATGGTAAAGCAGAACGCACACTTTCTACTGACATCCACATTTAAAGACGTTTCTCTGAGTGCCGTGATGACTGTGCGATTGTAATATACGACTGGAACAGGGAGTGTAAGGGAAGGGGAAGAGAAGGGGACTGCCAGTCGGCCTGCTCCCTGGGTGAGCTTCTCATCCTCTGCGAAGCTCCCTCAGCTCTGCTGCCACTTTACGCAGCTCTGCTTCAATCTCCAGGAGCTCCTGGTGGGTAGGAAGGAAAACATGAATAATCTCTGCAGGAGATTAAATGAACCAAGATCAAAATGTTAAGCTCTTTTTAAAACTCCAAATAGTGTCGATCAAGGGTCTGCAACCTTTACAAGCTAAAGAGTTATTTCTGCTTTCAGGTCAGAACAAATAAAACCTATTTAGAGCCCCAACTGTCACATAATTTTTTTGGAAAAGAAATTTTAAAAAACAGCTTATAACTTCAGATAAATATCTACTCCTGTAAATTTTTAAAGAACCACCAAAGAACCAGAGTGCTGTTAAATATTACAACGTGTTTTCATACTTATACTGCACTGGTGAATGAAAACAAAACACATTTCAATTTAAAGTATCATTAAACAGTCAACAGTAGCTCATCAATGTGAAGATTATTTCTGAGGAAAAGGACGTCCAGATATCATATCCAGGTCATTCTTTATATTTTCCTTTGTGTTGTAATTCATTGTTAAAATAGGTCAAGATTTAATTGTCAAGTAAACCTCTAAAGATGTGTAAGAAGTTGATATATCTTTTGCACCTAATATAAGGAACTTGAAACGTTCCACTGCTTAAGAGGAGGGATTAATAACTGCAAAGTCGAGCTCAGACCTGTCTAAATGATTGGGTAGATGTGTTTGCAAATCTCTGCCTCAACAATACATTTGTTATGAAACATGGTTTATATTTATTTTAAGTACATTGGACATTTTGCCTTTGGGATTACACGAAAAAGAAGAAATGTTGAACTCCATCATAGTTTGAAAGTGTAATTGGTGCGGTTTGCTCTGACTCACCTCCCCTTCATCTTCTTCATGATCCTCTTCATCCTCTTCATTCTCGTCATCCTCATCCTCTCTAACAAACTCTTCCTCCTCCTCATCATCCTCTCCATTTTCTTCCTCCTCCTCTTCCTCATACCTCTCCCTCTCAAATTGCCGTGTGGCTTCATCGCTGGCTTTCTCCATCACTCTCTTCTGCAGCGGCTCCTTCAGCTCCGCTGCTTCGTTCGTCTTCTTGACTTTCCCATCTGATTTTTCCACCTCTCCTCCCTCCTTGTCTTCGTTATTTTTATCCGTACTGTCCTCTCTCTTCCCGCCTTGCGACTCCTGCTTTTCCTCCTCCTGCACCCATTTCATCTTTCGGACAAGCTCCTCCAGCTCCTCCTGCTTCTCCTTCCTCTCCCTCTCCTGCTCTGGTTTGCTGACGTTGCTTTCCTCCCTGAGTAGCTCCTCCAGCTCTTTCTCCACCTTCTTTTTCTCCACCATCAGCTCCACTTCATTCTTCTGTCTTTCTTCCATATTTTGCTTGTCTGAGTCCTCTGGTCCTTTGTCCTCTCCCTCGTTGCTCTGCTTCATCTTCTCCTCCTCCTCTTCTTTTCTTAGCTCTGTTTCAGAGCCTTTCTGGTTCTCCTTCGCAGCTTTGTATCGTTTCGTTTTGAGCTCCTTCAGCAGCTCCTCTAGCTCTTCATCATTCTTCTCCTCTTCGCTTTTCTTGGTGACCTCAAGCTTTTTGGATGTCTCCTCTTCGTTATCGTCAGCCTGTGGCTTCCTCTTGTTGTCTTCATCCTCTGGCTTTTCTCCATCACTTCTCATATCTTTCTCATCCTCCTCATCCCTCTGCTCAAACTCGATCTCGTCATCGCCCAGATTGTACTCGTCCCTCTCCTCCTTCTCCCGCTCTGCAAAGATTGGGAGACAGTATCAGTTCCATTTTGACTTTAATAAAAGCAATGAGAAATAAAAGTCGCACTTCCATGTTTTGCTGCATTTATGAGCAGCTGTCAGTGGGAGCCTGTGCGTACCGTCATCAGCTAGCTTTTGCAGTTCTCTGAGAAGACCCTGGTGTCTCTGCACCTCGTTAAGTTCCTCTGCAACAGCAATGGAGCACATGAAGAAGAAGCAACAGTGCCTTGCAAGGATATTCACACTGCATGAGCCTTTTCATATTTTGTTACACATTAGCGACAAACCTCAATGCATTGTATTTGAGATTTTTTTCTAATAAACACAAAGTATCAGTTGGGAAATGGAACAACAAGGCCACATGTTATTCAAAAGATTTTATAAATAAAAACCTGAAAAGTGTAGCATGCATTTATGTTCTTTACTCTGATCCATTGCTGCAAATTCCCTTCATGATTTGCTGAATTAGATTTAATCTAAGGACGTCAAAGAAGTTTTTTTGTGAAGTGAGCAACTATTTGTTCTGGTCTTTTTTTTTTTTTTTTTTTTTTTTTTTTTTTTTTAAATCACAAGAAGAAAGTTATTGATGAAAGAAAACTATGTGAAGTTTGCCTCAATCCATATCGGGGAAACATAAACATGTGGAAGAATGTGTTCAAATTAGATTAGATTAACAAGAAATTATTATTATTGTCTTCCATTACAGATGCATTCATTATTTTGCATTGCTGTAATAAAATCAAAGTAAAACACACCACAGTTCATGGTTGTAGCAGGCATGTACAGTACATTTAAACAAGATGAACAAAACTTGACTTCGGTTTTTCTTCCACTCTGTAAAATACAACACGTATCTTCTACCTGCAAGCTGGGATCCACACTCATGGTGCGACCCGTCTTCATTCAGTGCCTCCTGAATTATACATTCAACCTGTTGGCAAAAACACCACAGTTAATATCTGAAGGAGAAAAGCTGAACAACAATGTAAATGCAGAAGGCTTCTTTCTGACCTTTGCATCATTAAGGGGTGAGGTAACTGGTCGGCTTCCCACTGCGAAACCAGAGCAAACAAACCAGGAAGACTGAACGTTAAATACAAGAAATATCAAGAATCATTTAGTAATCACAACACCTAATAGCGCCGCAGCTGAGCGACTGCATGTCTTTAATCCTGCATGGGCGTGGGTGGAGCTGTTCCCTCATTAAGGTGAGTGCAGTTACCCCAGTGAAGCAAACCTGCAAAGGAGCTTAACTTTGCGTCCCTCTCGCTCAGAGATGAAGGCGGCTTTAGCTCACAGGTAGTTTTCCCACCAGAGCTAAGTCAGTGGCCAACTACGCGTACCATTAAGGGCACACTAAGCAGCTCCCTCTCTGCCCTTTCTAAAAGGAAGACAATTTAACCAAAACGTGAACTTTAATACAAAGTGAAAAGACTCAAACCACATCCACTTATATACTTGGTCCAAAAAAGCCCAACTTTCCTGTAGTCTTTAGAAATGTCTTGATGAAAAGTTTCTCCACCGCTCCTGAACGAGATTTCGTTTGAGTCTTTCTACTACCACTCAACATTGTGCCTAAAAAGTCCAGAAAAAAAGAAATATTCTAACAGATAAACAGTATTAGAGGGTGAAGTCTGATCTATTGCTAATTTTTAGCTGACAGCACGCTGTTCTTAAAATGACATTTTATATAAATGACTAACTTTTGTATTATTTTAGTTGTTGTGTCAAACCAGGAATATTTACCTGAATGTTTTAGGTGAATAATAATAATATAAAAATGATAATATTTTTTAGGAGTAAATTCTAAAATTTTGAGCTTCACTCAGTCTTAATGTATTTTACAACAAAACATTATGGAATGAATATTTGTGGTCTAAAGTAACTAATGATTCTGCATCAAATTTTCCATGAAATATTGCTAAAATATCTTGTTCTTGTGAAACCAGCATCATCATATTATTACCTAAGAACCTTCAGTGCTTAGCCGGCCCATGGCATAGGCAAACCAGGCCGCTGTGAAGCTTCTCAAGGCCAGAAGAGAAGTTAGTTAGTTTCTTTTCCTTCTCTTAGTAATATGCTTAAATTCAGCGGGTCGTCACGTCTGATCTGAGGTCTCAAAAGGTCTACAGATGTCAGAAGATTCAATTTATGAAGCAGGATCTTGCATTTAAATTGGCTTTGCGGTACATGAAGAGTAGATTTAAAAAATTTAGTATTTCTGTTAAGTGTGTTTTGGATTTTAACGTAAACCTCCGGAGGAAAGTATTTACCGTATTGATAGATTTGTTTGCCTTCCTTATTTCACCTGGTTCATATTTACCGGTTGTTTCTGCGCTGGATTTACATCTAATGTACATTTTTACTGAAAATGAATCAGTCAATACATGTTTACCAGTAAACTCTCTCACCCTCTCAAAACGCATAAAGCCTAAATTGTTCAAAAGGGATACAAGTGGTGGTGGTGCGGTGACTAATGGGTTTAACGGGAAACGGGGCCCCAAATCTGCTTGGGGCCAATAAAATCTCAGGGTGTTCCTATTTGTTTTAATCACAAATAAATTAAACAGATGAATCCCATGTCTGTAGATGCTTTTAGTTGGGGGGGCGGGGGGGATTCTTCATAAAATCCGGTAATTTTGAATAAAAATGTTAATTGTAAATGAATAGAAGCTCGTTCCAGGCTCATTTCGTTGGTTAAATTTTAACATGTTGAATTAGCGCACTTCAAAGGTGGACGGCTAAGGCGCCGGCACGTGTTGCTACCGCACGCGCACCTGTGCGGGGGCTTTAATTGGCTCTTTAAACGTGCGCGTGAGCTTAAGTGACTGCGTTTTATCTATTTAACCGACCCAGCATGGTGGTCGCTCAGTGACAAACGCACTGAAACGGAAGGTTGGATGCGTTCAGAGCGGGTTATGTAACGTCGCTCGTTAAGCGCATTAACTCTAAACCCTCCGGGGTTTTCGGCAATAGGTGAGCGAACCTGGTTTCTTGTCGTTCGATAAACAACATTTCTCTTGTTTCCAGCCCCGTCGGCAGCAGCTGAGCTGATGCAGCACTGCAGCAGAGTGAGAAACGGGAGGCTTTCATCCGGAGAGACAACAGCGCATACCCGCCTTTTCCAGCCTCACCGCCTCCTCCCGCATGGAGATGAACAGAAACACGGAGCAGCTCGTAAATGTGATGGTCGCCTACCTCCGACAGCAGCCCAGAGAAAAATGGTGGTTATCAGAATTCCCATAGGATCCGTGAGAGGAGTATCCTGCAGGAGATAACCTTCAAAATGCTGGGCTGGCTCTTCCTCCCACACCCGCTGAGTGTGAGGTGGAGCCGAGCAGCAGTGTGTGTGTGTGTGTGTGTAGGGGTGTGTGTGTGTGTGTGTGTGTGTGTGTGTGTGTGTGTGTGTGTGTCAGGTGACCGAGCCCAGCCAGATCAGAGCCCAGCACTGCTGCCAGGAGGTCAAGTGTTGCTTTGCTGTCAGGGTCTTAACAGACCTACACAACAGACTGTTAAAAAAAAAATCTCACACAGTTCCATACCCAAACAAGCACATCTTCATCCTGTTGGCTCCTCTTATATTCTGCACAAGCTATGAAATAAATCACTACCGTATTGATCTGGAAATATGACCAATTACTCTTTTTTTTTATTATTCAGACTAGTTCATCTCTGGAAAAGATTTGTAAAACAGTCTTTAATTTTACACATTTTTTGAGACAACTAAAATGTCCAACAATATTATTGAAGCATTTTTGCACTTTGCTTTTTAAGTTTGGTCAAAGTTTCTTGGAATTTACACAAATAAATGTAAGACTTTGTGGTGGCATAAAGGCCCATTTATCTCACATACTGAGCAAGATGATGTGAAAAAAAAGCAAACGTTTGGATTTTTTCCAGGCACATCTGACTTTTGGGAAGGATGCAGCACTCGCTGGAGGGATAGTACCCAAGGTGTTCCCTGGACTGGGAACACCTTGGGAACCTGCAGGATTAGGGATGTCTGGATCTCAATGTTGGGTCTATATCAATGTGACCCAATTTTTCAAAAAACAGAAAACCCTGAAGGACAATCAATGGCATTTTCTTCAAGGTCATATTAAGATTTATTATTCCAAAAACCAACTAATCCTCTACTCTTAAAAGAAATATAAACAATTCACGATACACGTATGATTAATTTCATTTTATTAAAAAGGACATACAGCATTTCTACTTTTAATATTCAGCAGCACTGCTCTGTTTCACGAGAAACAATGTGTTCTAGTTTTTCTATCCATTTGTGTGGAGTAGCGTCCTCTGGTTGGGTTTTCATCTGGCTTTAGGACCAGGCCTGTGTGGTCGACTGTTCTGGTTGGGTCCAATGTATTTCAGAGGCGTGTACTTTGACTGCTCTATCACTTCCAGACCCAGATAAGGCTGCAGGGCTTGAGGAACACGCACGGTTCCATCCTGAAGACATACAGTCACCAAGTCAGTTACTAAAAAAACGGAAGATGAAGGAAAAGATTTGAATGCATAGGACAAAAAATAGAGTTTGTACAAAACACTATTTTCATAAGCTGTAAACATACTGCGCAAAAAAATGTATTCATGTGCTTTGAATACAATTTGTTACAATTACAAAATGTTTTGTATTAGGGATGTATGTGATAAACCAACACAAATTTGTGCAGAATTATGACAGAGCAAAATGATGCATGGTTTTCCAAGTTCTGAAAAATTTTTAATAGTGTAGTGTGTGCCTTTTCATTTAGTAATATTTTTCCCGTATGGAGAAGCAGATCTCATTTTAAGTTTTTCACATCAATGTTCATTAATGCTAATTGCTTTTTAAATTGATAAAAGTTAATGTGAAATGTTGTATTTCTCATCCGTTTTACACTTTCACAAAAGTTTTCTTATCACTTTTAGTCTCAAGTTTTAAGTATATTTTAAATGTATTACATTTTAAGCAATAACATGTTTTATTAGCATTTTTCTTTTATATGTCTGTTCTACTAGCTAAAGTACAGAACAAGGCAAATTTTTAATCGATTAATCGTCAAAATAATCAAATTACTCGATCACTAGAATAATTGTTTACAGCAGCGCTGGTAGTAAGAAACAGTACTTTTCAGAAGCTGTATGACTTTAAGTCCCAATAAAATAGCTTTAAAATTGATTTTATTTGTACTCTTTGTGACTTAAAAGAGTTTTTGATCACTAGTTTAGTCATAAAAGCACACAAAAAATTATTATTATTTTTTTTTTTACATTTTCCACTCAAACACTGGAAATCTTATTCTGCATTCCAGGCGTTCTCATTTTTATCATGTTAGCCGTTTGTGCCTTACTTTGGTTTGATGAGTCTCCAGGATGGAAATAATCATTCGAGGAATTGCACACGCTGTAGCGTTCACCTGGGTTGAAGAAAAGTAATAGACTGTGGATTTAAAGTGTGATGTGGAGCGGCAGGAGCGTACAGCAGTGGTCTGCAGCCTTACAGTGTGGGCGTACTGCAGACTGCCATCCTGCCTCTCATACAGGATGTTGAGGCGTCTGCTCTGATAATCCGTACAGTTGGACGCGCTGGAAACCTGATACACAGGAGAGAGCTCTTCAGAAATCAACCTGATCAGTCGTTCAAAGCAACAGCTGCTTGTTTTTAACTCAGCAGAGGCAGATGAAGATGTCTGGCGTATCTGGACTGTTTGGGGAAAGTAATGAGGCTGACCTCTCCGTAGCTGTTCCTCCCTGGCATCCACGCTTCAATGTCATACTTCCTGTAGGCGGGAAGGCCCAGCTCCTCAGTGGGCATGTCCAGCACTCTGAAATCAAACCAATGACAGCAACATCAACGAAAGTACTCATGACTCACAAAAAAAAAAAAAAAAAAAAAAAAAAAAATTCTGACTGGGACATTCCAACTTTTAACCTTAAATACAGTTAATGAGGATCATCAGTAAAATGTGTTATTTATTAATTCAGTTAATTGCAGTGAAGCTAGAATGGATTTAATATGTTTTGTAACATATTTAGATTTTTTTGTTGTTGTTGCATCTTATTTGTGATCTCAGATCAACTCTGATGCTGCACAGTTGTTTGTTTCCTCACCTGTAGTGAAGCTCCAGCGCAGAAAACATCTCCTTCTGCAAGGAGACGAAGTCCTCCAGCAGCTGTGAGCTCTCCTGTCCCGTCTCATTAGCCGTCACTCCAAACATCTCAACCTGAAGCAAAACACAAGGGAACAATAACATTAAGCTTTTAAGTTTAATACGATGAATCTCTTTCGATTGGATTTTTTCCTCTCGCCATCATTTAAAGTCTTTCCCCGGGTAAGACCTCCTTTGTGTTTGACCTTATTGAAGTGATGGACTCTGTAAAGTCCCCACGTCTCTCTGCCGGTGTCCGTCTCGGCCCTGTAGCAGGTGCTGCTGCACACTGTCCTGCAGTGAGAGACGACATGCTGGCACAATTAAAGATAGGAGTCGCTCCATCTGAAAGATGAAGGAGTGAGGAGAGCTTCTAACCTGACTGGCAGGTCCTTCCAGTTTACTGCATGATCCATGAAATAACCTGTGGAAATACAAATAAAAAATGAAGCACACAACACTGATTTATGCACAAACCTTCTAGCAGTAAGGGGAAGGTAAATGTTCAGTATTTATTAATGGCTTTTCTTTCAAGAGCTATAATGTTTATACAATAGCATGAGGAACAGAGGTGTGTGTAGTGACAACGTAAAGGTGAACAAAGCCTCACCTGCCACCCCGACCTCGCCTGTCCCAGCCAGGTTGAGGTCTGGGAATCGTGCCGGGTCCAGGGAGTAGACCTGAGAGATGTGGGCGTTTGGCTGCATCCCACAACCCTCCTGGGGAGGATGACAGGAGAGGATAGGAGACGTTACTGAAATCCTGGACAGAAAACCAAGCAGGCTGGACAAAAAACAAACAAAAAAAAAACATTTTACAGACAACAATGTTTCAAATATCCTGTTTGTGATTACAGAAACAAGATTTTATGAAGAACTAATCAGGATGTCTTGAACATAAACATGTGAAAAGCTCAACCCTTTCTGATTGACTGATGTTTTTCAATTAACTGATTAACAACTGAATAGAAGAAAAGATGCTTAATAGCAGTTTTTTTTTGTTGTTGTTTACAGTATTCGAACCAGGTGAAACTAAAATTAGGCCACTTGAAGAGTTCTGGGTAGAACACACTTAACGTCCTAATGTAGAAATTTTGCAGATGTGAAATGTGTAAATGTAAAATTTAATGACTTGTTTTACAGCTGCTTTCTATATCCAACGTTTATGTGTATAAATCAAAATAAAGCACAAGTTGACTCAAAATATTTAAAGTAAAAAGCAAGATTATAAAAGCACTTTGAGCAATTTGTAATTCACTTAAATTATGTGAAGAAATAATAAAACAGTTTGCAGAACAAATCACATGACAGACAGGTGATATAAGAATTTTCTATGTTCTTTGATAAATTGTATGTTTCATGCTCATTTTAGACATTTTCAACACATTTTAAGCACAACAGGAAGTTGAGTGCTGTATGTTGATTGAATCAAGGAATGAGCCCATGGTCGTCACCTCTGGACCCCATGGACAATTGGGGGGGGGGGGGCTCTGAGTATAAAAGGCAGAAAAGTCCCATTGTTCAGTAGAGTCTGCTGTGGATTACGTCCGGATGCCCAGTTACGTGATGCTGTAGCTCTGCCCGGACTGTCGGCTCTCCAGTTCACTGTGTCACGGTAAGAGCGGATTGAAAGAATTTATTTACATTATATGTTGTTGTGTAAATGAATTTGATATTGAAATGAATAAAATGAATAAAAGGACACATTTACTCTAGCAGAACAGCGTGTTGTCATTATTTATCACTGATCACCCCCGATCCTGCTTAAAATTTCACAAAACAACAGGTAGAAAGTTGCTGTAACCAAGACAGTCTCTCTTTTAATTTTGAAAAACTGGTAGGAAAGACTCAGATTCATTAAGTTCACTAATGAAGTGTTCAGGCCATGAAATTGTTTTCAAACCCTGCAAACAAAGACAGGTTGACTTTAAAAAATGGCTTTGTACGACTAGCTGGAGCTCAAGCTGACAAGCATTTAATCTAAGCCCATACTGCGGGCATTCAGTAAGATTTTACTACTGTAGCTGACAGATGTGGTACTCACAAACACCACTCCCTTCAGCATGTCGGGCACAACCATGGGAACGAAGCCCTGCAGCAGAGGAAGAAAACTCAGTTTCCACTGCTTTTCTGACTGAGGACAATGACTTTACTCATTTCGCATTAATCGCAGATGATTTTTCCAAACCACAATCATACCCGTCGCTGCAACGTGTCGAGAGCAAAATTCTGGAGTGCGATTTGAAGTTTTGCCCCCGCTCCTCTTAAATAATAGGACCGATGACCGGAGACGTGAGACAAATGCCTGCAGCAGATGGCAGACAGACTATGAACATTCTCAGTGCTCAATGCTTGCTGCACAAGCATTGAGCACATTGGGTGAATTTCAGCCGACCTCTGCCGGATGAGGCCCAATGCCTCACCGAGCTCTACGTGGCCTCTTGGCTTAAAGTCAAATTCTGCAAACAAAACAAGACCGTTTTCTTTGGTAAGCATGACAATAATGCCTTTCAAGCCGTTTTTAATTTACTATTAATATCACTCACCTGCTTTCTTTCCAACCAACTCCACCACCTTAGCCTGGCTCTCATCTCCGACTGGCTTAAAAAAACAAGACAAAAAGGGAAACTTCACTTCCACAACTTCTGCTGCACACCGAAATCTAATTAGAAATGCCTGGGATTAGTTTGTTAAGTTCTCACCACGTCAGGGTGTGTGTTGTTGGGCAGTCGGAGCGCTCGGCTGTAATGCTCCTGGTCCAGTTCGGTGTCTCTAAGGTAGAGCTGGTTCAGTCTGTTGCGGATGTCCCGGCCCTTCTGCAGGGCCTGGGTGAACTCTGGAAGCTGCAGCAGAAACAACTAAGTCAGACACAAAAGATGCAACACATTCAACCTCATCTGGTCATTTGGAGTAACCAAAAGAGAAATTGGCTCCTGAGGCTGCACTTACATTAGCGAGGACCTTCTTGTCGTTTTGGTTCTGTGGAAATAATAATAAGAACATTTAGAAACAGCTTTACAGTACGGGTTCTGTTAAAAATTGTTTTAAAAATTAATTATTCTGGTGATTGTTGTGTCTTTTAAATGGATAAAGAAAGCAGGCACATTCTGCTGATTTTTCATCTAACTATCTAGCATATTTTATATTAGCAATGCATAAGAAAATCCAAATAGCCATTTTTGCGTGATTTAACATCCATAAAGTATAGGGTTAACCTTTTAATGATTTTTTAAAAATTACCAATTGAGAACTGGATAGCAAAAACTACATAATAGGAGATTTATTACTATTATTATATTATTGAACCAGGTGAAGCCAAAACTATGCCACTTGAGGAGTTCTGCACAGAACATATTTACACACAAAAAAGGTTTTTCATTTTAATATGTATTCTTGGTGAACTTTTGGCTTAATCGTTGCTCTTACAGAGTTGTTGTTTTTTTTTGCAAATTGTATATTTTAGATTCTACATATTAAAATGAGCGATTAATCGATTGCCTAATCAGTTGAAGATTATTTCAATCATCAATTTATCATCATGAATCCGTCTTAGCCATAAACTTGTCATTTCTTTGCTTTATCTTGTCACATTAAGTCAAGCTGAATGAGATCAGAGCTTACATTTGAAGACTTGTGGATTCAATTTCTAACTGGTGCAAAACAAATCTCACCACAAGAGTTCTGACTGTCTCACTGATGCATCTTTTCTCCTCTTCCAACTCAAAGATTTCTGTCCTCACAGCTTGGAGCTCCTGCCACACTCTCACCTGGAGCAATACAAGTACGAGGTGAAAGGTCAGTCAGTATCATCGAAACAAAGCTACTTTCTGCATAAGAAGAAATTACGACAATTTTAAATGCCTTACAATTTTCCTGACATCGTCCCCTCGCAGGTCGCCCTTCCTGTTCTCCACATTAGCAATGACTTTGTGGGTCTCCTCGCACACCGCTCCCATGTCCAGCTCAGGCTTGTCGCTGTAGCCTTCACGGACATGCTCGTACAGACTGCTGCGGGCTCCATGCCGGAGGCGATGCGGGACATTACCGCCGCCCCTCCGCCTGGAGAACAACTGTCCGCGTATCGGTTGTAACACTGTCAGAGCGACGCCTCTAACTCTTGCAACCAAACTGATGCAGGTCGCCATGTTTCTCATGCAGACCATGCTGGATTCAAGGAAACCCGGAAAATCTAGCTTCATTCACACCAGTTGAGAATCCCGTATGCTTCTCTTATTCAGTGATTTGTATTTTATTTTAAAAATTTAAAATTTAACAAAAGTTAAATAAATATATGATCATTTAAATGTTCACACATTTTTTGTTTCTACCATAAAAAAGATAGACAGTGTATTTTTATAAAATTGTGCTTCAAACCAAAAATCAAATAGCATTTTATTGTTTATATATATTTTTCATTTCTGGTTTGTTATGGGAACCTGTAATTGCCAGAGCATTCATAGACAGTATATGGATATGCCTCTATTATTTATTTTTTTATTTTTTCTGTTTTGTTGACCTGACTGGAAATGTTTGGTATATACCTTGAATGCACCACGGAAGCGGAAATCAGATGGGAAACAAATATAATGAAAAAAAATTAAATTAAAATTATTACTCATCAATCACAGTAAGCGCTAAACAAGAAAAAATAAAAATACAATCGTTTTTACTATTTATTAAGCATAGCTCATTGCATTGGTACAATTCCTTTCATATGCAAACAATCAAAATTTTCTTGAACAATTTAAGATATTCAAATATACTTCAATCGCCTGAAATTTAAGTTGCTTTTATGCATTTTTCTGCCTTGCTGTTAGCCATTGCCTTCATTGCTGTTAACCTTCTCAGGTTCTGTTACCATAGCTGCCGTTACCAAAATAAAACAAAAATTATTTTGGTTTTAAACAAAAATAACTGCACTCAGCTTCCCTTTACAAAATATTACATATAAATATATTTTATAACTTTTTCTATTCGACAGGAAACGGATCATCGGCAAACAATTGTCACGAGGCAAACTCAGCCAATCAGAGTGAGCGACAGTCGAACGTTGCGGTAATCCGGTTCAGACATGACAAGAGCGGCCGACGGAAGCTCAAGTCCGGGCTCGGTTTCTGGCCACAACAACTCCACTTTTTATCACTTCACCCTCCAGCTGAGCGCGTTGGTGGCTCTGTGTTTCAGTAAACAGATATGCGTTGCAAATATGCATCTTTAGATAGGACTCCAAGAGTTTCCTTGTGAGGTTACCCTGTCGGTCTGTAGGTAGGGATGGTGTTACACCGGGCTCCATGAGCAGAAACTAGCCTAACGAGGCTGCATTACAGGCCGGGGGACGAGCAATTCGGTCGAGCCCGGAGGACGGAGGAAATTCAAATGCTCCCAGGTTTCCATTAACAACCCGGCTGCTTTTTCCACAGTTTGTCTGCTCCAAACGGACTTCTCATTTTTTCTGCTGAGAGAGGCCCAGCCAGCTTTCACGGTGGAAACAAGAAGGAGAGCAAAGGTACATGAAGCAGTAAACCGTTGCTACCACTTGAGCTTGGTCTTCAACTCTTTCACACCCAGAATTGAATAAAAATAAACAGAGAAGCTGGAAAAATCCATATGAACCTACATGCACACGAGTGTAAAAAAAAATCAGTCATTAATTTTATCCCAGAAGGAGATATTTAAAGTGATCTTTTTTTCCCCGTTCCTTTTAGCAGAAGACCACGTTTTCATTTCACGTTGTGTCTGTTCCTCAGATGAACGCTGTGCGGGGGGCACAGTCACCTGGCGTCCCCAGCCATGGCAGGACGGGGACGGGGGAGGAGGGGAGCCTCTCTCAGACAGCGACTCAGAGGAGGAGGACTTCCCAGATGACAGCACCACCCCACTGGGGGACTACATTACCCATGGTGAGGAGGTCTCTGTCTTTGCCTGTCTGTCTCTCCTCCCATTCCTGCCTGTTCTAATTTCAGTCTCTCTCTGTGTTTTAGGGTTAAAGCAGCTCCTGGATGCTCAGCAGCTGTGTGACGTGACATTGCTTGTTGAAGGAAAAAAGTTCATGTGTCACAGGTGCAGTTGGGTAACCTTGCTTTACAGTGCTGTGGATTACTATAGCAACTTGGCATGGGTCAGTTACCTATATCAAGGTATCCTAAAAACTATGCTTTGTGTTCTTGTTGCTGCTGCACACTGTCTGTCAGCTGGCTCAAAGAAGACTTTCATTTGGTCGAAGCTCAGTAATGGAATACATTATTGAAATATTTACAATTCTAAAAATCATGCAGTCGTGATACTAATGTCTGGTTCACATGACAAAGCACACCATCATTGGGATGGCACTAAAGATAATCTCAGGAGATGTTGCTGCTTTGTGTGTTGTGTTAAACGTAACCTAGGGCGCTTGATCAGGACCACTCCAACTTCAAATTGGGGATATTCAACATGTTGAATTGTCTTGGTATCACAGCATGCAGCCAGTTTAATTTAATACGTAGCCAATCAGAAAAATTTGCAATTTTTTACAGACAGAAAATGCATAGCAATAATTCCATTATGAATATTAACATTATTAATTAAAGTCACAATACAAATTTAGAAAATTATTGAAATAACAAAATTCCAAGTGTAATAATCAATGTTTAATCATGTTTAGCAACAGTAGGAAATATCGTTGCTTTTGTGACGTAAACGCATGAAATAATTAAAAGTTTATGGTTTATCATACCCTAGGAATCATAATAATCACCCACACCTGGTGGTAAATTAATGTAATAAGAAATAATAATTACTAAGTCCAAACAAAGCATATTGTTTGTGATGAGCATTGACATGTCCTCTGTCCCTCTGCGTCTCAGAGTCCTGTTAGCAGCTGTGAGTCCGTACTTCCGAGCAATGTTCACCAGCCCTCTGGTGGAGTCCCGCCTCAACGAGATCCGTCTGGAGGAGGTGACGCCATCTGTCATGGAGACTGTCATCCAGTTTGTTTACACGGGGGAGGCGGGTCTTTCTCTGGAGACGGCCGAGGACTTGTTTGTGGCAGCCAACCGGCTTCAGGTCATGCCCCTTCAGGACCTGTGCTCCAGGTATGGTTGAACCTCTATGGTTCAGGTTTTTATGCTTTAGCTTTTGAAAGGGGTGCAGTATTACGTAAAATAGACTTTTTTTTTTTAGCTTTATATCATGTTATAATGTTATTTCCACAAGCACCTGGTGCAACTGTGAGTCTGCTGGTTCTTCATACACACTAGTTGTTAGTCCAACGCTCCTAAGAACAGTTGTAAACAGCATAAGTAGAAGCATTTTTCTGATGACGTGCTGAATTGGAGTGTCAGAAAGGACAGAAGCTTCTTAAAGAGACAGAGGCCAAATTTCAAATGATCAAATTTCTTTTAAGTTGTATTTGATATATACAGCATTTTTATAACAAGTAAAGGTAACATATACCTGATTGTGTTATAAAATGTCACTGTATGTCTGAAAAATACAAAGTACCACTCCTTTTAATAAAATAAGAATAATAAGATGGAGTTTTAACACGCTTGCAATTATTTCACCTCTGTATTTTATTGGGGTTTTTGTTGGAGGATCACTAAAAATTCCAGTAAAACATAAAATGTGTGACCCTGATAAATAATATTAAATAAAATTGTTGATGTTTGAAAATGTGATTGGTTTCTGTTGTTCCTGTTTTACCAGACTTAACTGTTCAGTCATTTGAGTCTGACCTAAATGTTTGCATCATGTATTTATTCAGTTAGAAATATCAGAAATATGTATGTGTAATTGGAGTCCATACAGACTTGGACTGCAACAGAGAGCCTTGCATTTCCACTATTATTTAGAGCATAATGAATGTATGAATGGTATCAATGGAAAAAAATAATGTTTAAAAAAATTCACCCAATGTTAAAGGCATTGTGTCATTCAGTAGTTTCACCATCCTCCTTTGAATCTCTCCAGGTTTCTGTTCGAGCACCTCTCAGTGGAGAACTGCCTCGGCATGTACTCGCTGGCTCGCTCGCACCACGACCAGCTGCTGCTGCGCGCCTCCCTGCGACTGGTAGCTCAGCACTTCCCCCGGGTGGCGCGGCAGAAGGACTTCCTGCTGCTCGACCACGGCACCCTGGGCAGCCTGCTGAGCTCTGACCGCCTTGGAGTGGACTCCGAGGCCGAGGTTTATGACGCGGCTCGCCGCTGGGCAGAGCACCAGCCTTTGGATCGCTACGCCCACATGCCGGCACTGCTGCACCACCTGCGCCCGGGACTGCTGTCCCAGGAGGAGAGCCGACGGCTGAGCCAAGAGCTGGGGCCCGCTGCTGCTGGAGAGGGCCTGGGGGGCCCTCTGAGACCAAGGGAAGGCATGTTTGAGAAAAAAATTGTCTGTGTGGATCTGACACCTCGGGAAGATGAGAACTTGGTTCTAAAGGAGTACACTGTGGACTGCTTTGACCCTCGGACAGGGAAGTGGGAGAAGTTAGCGGCTCTGTGTTCTCTGGTGAGCCCAGGGTGCACGGCGGTGGGGGACAGGTTGTTTGTAGCTGGGGGGATCCTCCGGACCGGCTCTGTCTCTGCCGCCGTACACGAGTATGATGCCGTGTTGGACAGATGGATAGAAAGGCCTGCGATGGGCCAACCCCGCGCCATGCTGGGCCTGCTGGGCTGCGGCGAGTCGCTCTACGCTTTGGGTGGTTGTAACCGCTCCGCCCTGCTGGACTCCAGTGAAGCGCTGGATCTGACTTCGCTCCAATGGGGTCCCGGGCCGCGACTCCCGCTCCCTCTGCGAGCGTTCGCCTGCGCGGCTCTGCGTGGACGCCTCTACCTCCTAGGTGGAACCACGCTTGAACAGAACAGGGCAGTGGTGCACTCAGGTGTGCTCATTTATCACACCTTGACTGACTGCTGGACACGGGTCGCGCTGGACTCCGGCACCACATGCCTCGCTGGAGGTGTGGCGGTGAGAGGAGGGGTCTGCGCCATCGGAGGATACATGAGGGATACCACCAAGTTCCTGGATGGGAATTACACCAACCTGGAGACTTTAGATGCAACGGGTCGCGTCCTGTTCTTCAGAGAGGGGAGGGGGGCGGGGGTGGAAAGGGAGGTGACAGGGGGAGGGGTGATGGTCAGCGCAGAGCAACGAGGGGTCGCCTGCGGTGGAAGTGACCGGGCTCCGAGTCCAGTCGTCTTTCCCGGTTTGCCACGGCGGATAGCCGCAGGGGGCGTCGCTCGGTGGAAGAGGAGGATTTATGTGCTGGGAGGAGAAAATGGCTCGCGTTTCTATGACAGCGTGTACTGCTGGAAGCCTGGCTGGCGCAGCTGGGTGCAGAGGCGGGAAAAACTTCCCGGAGAGACTGGAGGGGTCAGCCAGTTTGGGTGTACCACTCTTAAATTCCCCAAAAAGCACATCCTGTCCAGACTGAGACTAGCCAAAGAAAACTGCAAGAAGCCCAACGACTAACTCGACAGAAAAGCCCGGCAGAGGCAGCCTTTCTTTGGCTGCTTAATGATCTCATGCAATGTTGTTTTAATTAATTTAAAGAAGAATATCTACTTTTCTACATGTGTGCAGCCACCATGCAGGCCTATAACAGATTAGATCCTATAAAAGGGATTATCTCTGATAGTCAAGGAGGAGAGTTGGGCACTTGAATGTTTCCTAATTCACCATTTAGCAAAGGAATAAATTCCTTTCAAAGAAGAAAATGTGACATCTTTGGCTTTTTGTTATATTTTTGAAGCTATTTAAAAATCACTAATGCTGTGAATTTCCTTTTTCTCATTGCGTTGTTTAGAAACTGAAATGTTTTATGATGTGTTAAAAGTGATCTTATGTCCTATCTGGGCCTGTGATGTGCGGTGACACTGCAGTTAAGGGCTACACAAATAAACTTCATAGAAAAATATGACATTCAGCACCTTTTCTTGCCCTTTGTTAATTCAGATGACATTCAATTCAAGGGAGGTTTGTAAATGAATATTTCCATTACTAGAGTTTGGGTGGGTTTGACGTAGAATAGCTACATTTGAGCTTGCAATGAGTTTAGCGTCCTTTAAACCTGCAGTATATAATTTTTGTAAGCAATATTTATTCAAAATATTTGTTAAAATTGTCACTATGTCTTGACGGTACAAAATAAGGCAGATAATTTGTGAAAATCGAGCTCCTCTGCATCCTCCCTGTGGTTCTACTGCCATTTGCAGAAATACAACACTCTGTCAGAAACAACCAAAAGAGCCAGAAGGAGGGTCTTAGTGCTGTCAATCAAGCTCATGTGTACTCTTTTGCTGTCTGCTACTCTACAGCTCCAATTCCCAAAGTAGTTAGCATGACCACTGATGAAGGTGAATAAACACTGGGGAGCACATACACAGGATTGATTCACAGCACTAATACCTTCCTAGGTCTTGATTTAACAAGGTCTGCAATTGTATCTTTTCAAACCAGGTGGGTCTGAAATGATTCTTTGGAAACTGCAGTTTGTTTACTCTGATAAGCAACTGAATATTTTTCCTCGTGAAATATTTAAATATTAAGTGCGACAACAGAGCAAATAGCGAAGACATCAAGAAGAGGGGAAATGCAATCATACATTTTGAAAGCATAAAAAAAATATAACATCCATGGTATGGAACCTTTCTCCCAGCACTCTGTGTTTTTAGTAAGCATCTGGTTTACATAGTTCTTATGATCCAAACAGGTTCTTGATAGCTTTCATTTAAAAGCAGTGGCATTATCCAATTAAAGGAACAGTCTACTTTTTGTAAAAACATAATTTCTTGATGACTAGAAGAGGAAATAGGCATTGAGTCAAGTCAATGTTGGTAAAATGGCTGTCAAAGCAAAAAAAAAAAATGCCCACATTTCACCTTAATTTTCTACCAATGGGCAACAGAAAGGAGCTGATGTGACATAAAAAGTTAAGAGAGCTGTAAAAAAAATCCAAAAACAACAGATTGCCTGTTGACTTCTTTTCATGGTTTGGTGTTAATAATTAATAAATAAACTGCTGAATCTGCATATTACCCCATCTGATCAAAGTTCCCAGTTAAACTGACCAACCCGAACCATCCTACCCAGCTTTTCCATTACATCAACGTTCCTGAAACCCAGCAGGCTTCACTTGAAAGCCGCGGATGTTGTGAGAACTGAGAAAAGTTTCAGGTTTGACTAAAAGGAGCGATGGCGGAACCCTCATCAGGAAACGTGACCATCAACAATCCCGCCGACATTGCTGTCATCGCTGGATACTTCATGATGGTCATCGGCGTTGGTGTTTGGGTGAGCTTTTCAGACTTTGTGCCTGAAAATAAAGAAGTTTGGGAAGAAATGTAAAAAGTGGGTATAAGCATGAAAACTCTTGACCTCGCTGTGTGCCTTAGTCCATGCTTCGGACCAATCGTGGAACGGTGGGAGGATATTTCCTGGCAGGACGTTCCATGGCTTGGTGGTCGGTGAGTCTGGAAGGCAACAGGAACTTGACCTTTGATCGAAAGTAATATGAGCTGATTTGTTAGAAAAATAATGAAGAATTGCAGCACAGAGTCGCTGACGGATGATTTTAGTGGAAGCTGTCCAGTTTTGTGATTCAAAAGGAGAGTATCTCCAGGTTTCTTTATGAATGCTAATTGTTGTTTTTACCAAGTTCCACAAACTGATTTCCATTTTTAGATGTTGCCTTTTTCAGGGGTGGGGTTTCTAACCACAGAAACTTTATTGTATTTTGTTCAGGATAAGTTCTGTGAAGAAAAAAATGTTGGTATTCTACACTGTTTCTGAACACAGAATTGTTTGAAGTATATTTGAATCAGTTTCCTAAAAGAAAAGATTTTGTTACCACCTTTATCTTACTGCATTCCCATGAATCCTGGCGGTGCTGAGTGCGTTTGTGCTGCAGGTTGGTGCATCACTGTTTGCCAGTAATATTGGGAGCGGTCATTTTGTGGGCCTGGCAGGAACCGGGGCAGCGGCGGGCATCGCTGTGGGAGGCTTCGAGTGGAACGTAAGCAGCGTAGCTGTAAAGACGCTGATGTTGTATAGCATGGAGAATAAAAAAGTCTTCATACCTTTGAAATTGTTTCACAGTTTGTCACACTACAGCCAATAAAACACTTTGGAGTAATCTTTTTTTATTGGGATTTTATGTGGGATATCAGGCTCTGTTCATCGTGTTGCTGCTGGGCTGGCTGTTCGTACCCGTCTACCTCACTGCCGGGGTAAGATGTTCAGTCTGTGCTCTCATTTGCTCAGAATGACCCCACCCTTCACTGCTGTGATGGGCTGAAATCCCCCCATAGGTGATCACGATGCCTCAGTACCTGAAGAAGAGGTTCGGCGGGGCCAGGATCAGCCTCTACCTGTCCGTCATCTCTCTCTTCCTTTACATTTTCACCAAGATCTCAGTGAGTCAAGCTGTCTGGTGAGTAAAACTCCACATATTGCGTTGCTTACTCTGACCCATCTGTTTCTTCCCTCCAGGTGGATATGTTTTCTGGAGCTGTGTTTATCCAGCAGGCGTTAGGCTGGAATATTTATGTGTCTGTGATCGCGCTTCTGTTAATCACAGCCTTGTACACTGTCACAGGTAATATAGCAGTATGGTTTCAATTTATTCTTCCCCTAGAAGAGATGTGGGAAATCTTTCAGCAACATTATGTCACACTGCTAATTGTAGAAAAAAAAACAATCCTCAAAGGGAGAGGTATTATGCAAAATTTATATTATAATACTATTCCTTCAACACAAACATACCCAGAGTGTTGCTGTGATTCTTTCATGCATGTTTGAGGAATCCCTGATTCACAGATCCATTTCAAACGTTGTCTTTTGCAAAAGGAGAAGGCACAGCAGACCACTTCCTCATAGTGTCTGCCATGCGTTCTGACTCTCTGCATCAGAACTGGTCTTTTATTACAAAGCATAGCAGGAAAGGAATGTGGAGGGAGGACAAAGGAAGCTCTACACACAGGCCGTGTAAGGAGTATCCCAAGATAAGAAATGGCTGCAGCTTCAAGGTCTAGACGCAGCTACAGCTGCAGCTCCAAAGTCTAACAAGTTCATTTTCTCAGGGATTTGAATACTAAATCTATTAAAACTACAAATGTAAGAATGATAACAAAACATAATTATTCTAACAGTGGAGTTACATATGAGCTCATCAGACAAACTACTTTCTAGTCTAACACTAACACCAAGAACAGTTGTAAACCGCATACAGGAGAAGCATTACGATGACGGAAAGAGCAGGTGCTTCTTAAAGAGGCGGAGGCAACGTTCAAGGCGTCAGATTGCAAAGCCAACTTTCTTTTAAGTTATGTTTGGTTTATGCAGCTTTTTTATAACATATGAAGGCAGCATAGCTCCTTGCTTTTGCTATAAAAATACCACCATACCTAACAGTGGAATTCATTCATTTCACTCATCACTCCCAAATAACTGGTTAGTATGATAACATCTAATCGTTATGGAAATCCACAGTTTGCTACAATTCTCTAATAACGAGCTTTGGAGATGTTTTAACAGTCCTTACCGATCTGATATCTCCGGTTTTTGTTAAAAGTTATTATTTATTGTTTCTGGGTTTATTTAAAAAAATTTTTTTTGAACACCAATAAATAAATGAATGTGCTCAAATTAAAGGTTGGATTAAACCGTCTGGTGACAAACGGCTTCAACACTTTATGGTTTACATCTTTAAGTCTCTGTAATTTTCTAAAATGTTTTATTATGTATGGTTCCCAGGTGGCCTTGCAGCTCTAATGTACACAGACACTTTTCAGACGTTTGTCATCATCGCTGGTGCTTTCGTCCTCACCGGCTTCTGTGAGTAAAAACATTCCAGGGTCTCATCTGTGTTCTTTCTGGTTTCTACAAATAAGAAGGTGAACACATTGTTGATAGTGTAGAAAATGCACCCTGGTTTAGAATGAAGACAAACACAGAAATGTTTGCGAAGTGGCGATCAACAGTTTGTTCTGATTAAGCAGATGATTCACACTCTCAGTTAGGACAGCCTGACACTGGAAGAGAGCAACAATCACAGGAAGTCTGAAATCAAACTGACACCAAGATGGCTTTTCTGGGATTCTCTTCCCCCACCTGTCATCTTCAGCCTTTGCTGAAATCGGTGGCTACAGCGCCCTGCTTACCAAATACTACTCTGCCATTCCGAGTAACTTCTCCTCCCTGGACACCCAGCGCTATAACATCTCCTCCCAGTGCTACACCCCGAGACAGGACGCCTTCAGCCTGCTGAGGGACCCGACCGTGGGGGACCTTCCCTGGCCTGGTGTCGTGTTCGGGATGACAATAGGGGGGATCTGGTACTGGTGCTCTGATCAGGTGAGCAACACCATGTGAGCTGAACTGAAACAAACCGACTCTCTTCAAACTCTATGTGCACAACCAGAGATGGAGGGGAAAAGGCAATAATGATGCATCCTGAAGGGTTTCATGCACTGCAGCACATTCTGCTGTTAAACATTTGTTGGATTTAAGATTTGGGCAAAGGGCAGTGAAATGTATTAGTTCAGGGATGAGCGCTTAAGGGTAATTGGTCATGTGGAAAAAAAAACCCCTACATCCTCTGTTGGATCTTAGGTTTTACAGATCAGATTAAACCTTAAAGTAATCTGATCCCGAACAGGCTATAAAATATAACCACAGAAAACTGTGGCAGCAAAAAAGCCTGAAAAGAAAAATCTACTCCACCCAGGGAGGTTTGCTGTGATGTTTGGTTTTCAACAGAGGTAGTGCTGGACGAATGTCCATCTAAACTTCACATTCCCGGAAGTCTTGCGGTTCAAAGTCATCTCACCAAAGAACTGGCATGCAGCCTATAAAAAAATAACAGGCCCAGTGTGTTACTTCCCAGTAACAAAGCCATTTGTGGATTCCATGTTTGTCCATGCTTGTTGTCGTCTCCAGGTGATTGTCCAGAGGTGCCTGGCAGCTCGCAGTCTCACCCATGTGAAGGCTGGCTGCATTGTGTGTGGCTACCTCAAACTGCTCCCCATGTTCCTCATGGTGTTCCCTGGCATGATCAGCAGGATCCTCTACCCAAGTGAGTCGCCAGGGCAAATGATCGCTAGACCCTTACAAACCTGTCTGAATGGATTCAGTCTATAAAATCAGACTCTAAATTAGTCCTTTAGGCAGGATTTTGTTTTTTGAGGGGATGAGAAAATAAATACTCCCAGTTAATCATAAGTTATCATTTGTCTGTGAATGTTTTACTTGAGGGATATTTTTAATGATGGTGTTAAACTTACATTAAGCTGCTAGTTTGCTAGGATTCTCTTTTAAAAGAGATTTTTAATTTCAGGGGACTTTGCTTGGTGAAATAAAAGTTTACAGCCAATGTCCCAGAAAACATCTGAAGTTTGCTGATGAAACACATGACTTCATCTCTCTATAGACATAAAGCATAAATCTAATCGTGTTTCTGTCTCTCTGTAGATGAGGTTGGCTGTGTGGTCCCAGAAATTTGTAAGGAGGTCTGTGGAACCGAAGTGGGGTGCTCTAACATAGCTTATCCTAAACTGGTGGTTACAGTCATGCCCAGTGGTAAGAGTGAATGCAGATTACATACACTAATCTTTTGTAACGATGTTACAGTGAGAAAAATAAGTTTGAACGCATCAGAAATGACCAGGACCTTTATGCTCCAGTGACTGTTCAAACTTGGGGCTGGAAATTCTCACCAGGTTTTCGTTTTCAAGTTTCACGCTGAATGTTCATTTGTCTCTGTCCAGGTCTGCGAGGGCTGATGCTGGCGGTCATGCTGGCAGCTCTCATGTCTTCCTTGGCCTCCATCTTTAACAGCAGCAGCACTCTGTTCACCATGGACATCTGGACCCGCATCAGACCACAAGCCACTGAGCGGGAGCTCATCGTTGTAGGCCGGTAAATGGATCATAATACAAACGACAGCAGGCCAGTACCAGTGCCTTGCAAAGTTGTGCCTTTAAGTTTTCCACTTGGGGAACACATACTGCTCTATTTGCTTAATATTAGAAGTCATAGACTAACCAATTAGAGCATAACTGTCAATTTTATTTGTACATCATACTTCAGCAGCAAAGCATATCCATACAACTATATGCTGTTGCTCTGCTCTTCAGTGTCTGGGTTCTATGTATTGTGGCCATCAGCATCTGCTGGATCCCCATTGTTCAGGCAGCGCAGAGCGGTCAGCTGTTTGACTACATCCAGTCAGTCTCCAGTTACCTGTCTCCACCCATTGCCTCCGTTTTCCTGCTGGCTGTTTTTGTCAAACGGGTCAATGAAACAGTAAGGACAGATACTGTGATATTAGTTTATTTCAGGTCATACCCTTTAAACATAAACACAATGTTGGTTCTTCTCTCCCATGAACCTGCAGGGGGCTTTCTGGGGCCTTATTGGGGGTCTGGCGATGGGTCTGTGTCGGATGTTGCCTGAATTCTGGTTTGGTACCGGCAGCTGTATTTTCCCCTCTCAATGCCCTTTCCTGGTGTGTGGCATCCACTACTTACACTTTGCCATCATCCTGTTTACCTGCACATCAGTGCTGGTGCTTCTGGTCAGTTTCTGCACAGAGCCGATTGAGGATAAACACGTAAGTGACAGATTTAAAGGATGGGTCAGGCTACAGAAAATGACTCAGGAGCTCAAAATCTTTTGTTTCTTTCAGCTCTATCGTCTGGTATTCAGCCTACGTCACTCTAAAGAGGAGAGGGAGGATCTGGACTGGGAGCAAGAAGAAAGAGCCAGAAGAGCCCGCAAGGAGGCGAAGGAGAGGATGAGAGAGAAGGCTAATGTAGTTACAGGTGGGCAATAAGGAATAAGCAATAAGGTGGGCACAATTTTTTTTTTTTATCTGCAAACATACATTATTTTTTTTAGAAACGGAGCAAGATAAAAAGTCTGGACTCTGCCGCCTGGTTGGTGGATTCTGCGGACTTAATGGAGACCAACAAGTTCAAGATGAGGATGCAGCCGAGGATCTAGAACCTCAGATGCCTGACATCAGTGAGAAAGCAGTGTGGAAGAACACCGTGGACTCCAACGCTCTGGTCATGATGGCTGTTGCAGTTTTTATGTGGGGATACTTTGCTTGACTGAATCATTTTGTTCCGAGCTTGAAGGTGTTGTAGCTGCCGTGTGATCGCCATCTGCTGCCAATTACAGAACTGGAGTAAATCTTCAAATAAAACCTTGTCGCCATCTGCTGGCAGTGTTTTGTTATTGCACCACAGTGATCTGAAACTCTTGGAACCAAGATCAGATGTTAACAAAAAATATACTTTACAACAAATATATATAAATTGTCACGTAATGTATAATTTCACAATAAATAAGGCAATTAAGGTTTTTCTTACTTTAAAGTAACCTGCTCTGGGTTTAACACCAGTATGTTACATCTACTATTTTGGAAGCCATCATGTTTAATATTTGTACTAAAACTTTATGATAACATCAATACATGTAAAAAAAAGTAAACTGAGAAAAATGTGCTTATGAATTAAATCATTTAGTGCATGTCCAAAGCTTTGGATTGTGTAATTCTCCTTCAGAAATGGATTGTGAACAGAAAAAATTGAAGCCTTTTTCAAATATTCAGTCTATAGTTTAATTGTAAAGAATAAAAAAAAAAACAATTTATTTGAAAAGTGGGACGTACATATTTGTATGCGATGGTCGTTACTCTAATACCTATAATATCTAAAGCTATTAAAAGACAATATTGGGTAAGAAGCCTCCCTGGTGCCTCTGCGGAAAGAAAGGTAATGGAAAGAAAACTTGACAAATTCTGTAGGGACTGAGGGTCAAAACGGTTCTTGAGGTTGTAAAGGTGCCAGACCTGGTTTAGATCAAATTTCACTCAAGAGTTGAAATGGCCCAGTCAAAGTCCAGACCTAATCTGATTGTCTCAGACTCTACATCCAATGGGGCTGCACATGAGCCATTTCATAAAGCACCATGAGGAAACATTTGTCTACATAAAAGTCGTAGAGATGTACCTCAAAAAGACTGGTTCTACAATGTAATGGTTTGGGGACCTGAATATAATCACTTCAGATTATTTATACAACTTCGTGTTGCTATTATATGTAAAATCTTTGAAACCGCAAAGGGAAAAAGTTCACAGGTTTATACATTTTCAGAGGTACAAAAATTTCATCCCTGCAGCTTTAATGATCAGATTAAACAGAACCCTTGTTATCAGATACAAATCCCATTAAAGCATCTGGTTACACTCTGATCCAATCAGTCATTCCTAAAGGTGTGAAGGAGAGAAAGTTTAAGTAGCTCATAAATGCATTTATAAAGTTTATCCCACACATTTAAACTTTGGTTCACAAGAAATCAATGTGAGCTGTAAGTGGCTTGAAACCACCAAGCTGCAACCACCCAGCACGATTTAGAAAACGAGCAATGTGGATCAGCGTATAAAAAGACATACGAGGTAGTGGTTCAGATTTCCAGTTTTAATCATCACTTCTGTTTTATTTAAGCAGATATTTCCCATTAGCATTGTACACATCTGCCACCTACAGAGTTCTCCCATGACTACCCAACCATCTTCCCAACTCCATGCAGAGGTTCAGCATCATTCATCACATCAGTTCTTCAATGTCCAGTCTGTCAGCTTGCAGCGGTGGGGAGGGAGGTTAAAAGCAGAGGAGGAGAGGGCAAAGATAAATAGATTAGATTCCATTTTTTATTGTCCCCTCCCCCAATATTGAAAAGTCAGAGCCATCACCAGGCACTGTTCTTGCACACGCAATAATTTAAGTGGACCCAGTGGAGCTGGATGGAGTGTGTGAAGCACTGGAAAACAGTGCAACTTTTGTGTTCTGATCATCTGAGAGGTATCTGATGCCTCGGTCTCCAGAAGGTTGGGGTAAGAGGTAGGGGGGCTTTTAAGGCTGGAAGCTGGTATAGATAGTTTCTGGTGTTAGTGGTGGATAGTTGAACACACTTCAAAGTATGAATGATGGCTCTGTTGAGGTGGAGGGAAGGATAAAAGAAGGGCATATTTAAAATAAAGATGGCATATTAAAATAAAAAAAGAAAACTTCAGTAGAATGACAGACTGATACACAAAGAAAACAATCCTCATGAATAAAAGCAAATACAACAGCAAACATCCAGACACAAAAACCCAATAAAAACAACCAAACAAAAACAAAAAAAAAAATGGCAAAACAAGCATAAAGAATCAATCAAACCATACAAAGTGACATCAGGCCTTTCCAAAGTGACATCGAGTTTCTCTTTTTAAATCCCATTCAAGTCTGTCTCCCATAATTCTCTGTAAACCAGACAGTGGCTCCCATTTATGGCTGGTCAGCAAGGTCAGGGTCCGCTCCGTAACAATAACCGGGCGGCTCTCTGAGACCTGGACTCGGGGCAAAGGGGGGCATCCAGGACTGAACTCAGAATGAGCATCAGTGACGAGCAGTAAATTCAGCAGCATCAGTAGGGGACTGATCAACTTAATACATCATTACAGCACATTCAGAACAGAGAAATGCTTGGTGCAGGACAGCTACAAAGGGCATCTTCTACAACCGAAAAAAAAAAGAATCAAGTTTGCTTTATACAATCACATTTCTGTAATAACTCGAAACATTCTGCACTGAAAGGTTTTACATGTCCCTTGAAGCCCGTCTGTACAGCTAAACATGGATGCTGGGGGCAAAACAACGCAGGACACGTGTTGGGAGCTGAAAGCACGCTGGTGGACATTACATTTCTATACGTCACTTAATGAATGCTAATCTCAATCCAAAACACTGCAAAGTTTTCACATAAAATCGCCTACTGTAACATCCATGTGCATATTTAAACAGAACCCCCTCAGAGACGAGACTGACAGCAGCAGGAAAGGACCCCAACCCTGGTGTACAAACTTTTATTAGCCACTCTAGGAGGGGGAGAGAAGGATTCTGGAGCAGTTGGAAAGAGAAAAAAAAAGGCAAGGAGTGTGATTCTTCAGATCTTAACTTCTCTCTATTGACAGAAAGAAGGAGAAAGAAGAGGAGACAAGCAGTCTTGGAGTGCTGATTCCTCCCCCGTTGCCCTCTGTACCCCAAGTTCTCAGACCAGTGATGGAGAGATGAGAGGAGGTATGCAATGAGATGAGACTTGGTTTGCACCCTCTACCTGGCCTCCTCCCTCCGTTCTTCCCTCTTGCTGCGGATGGGCTGGGACCCGTCTGCAGGCTGCTGGACCCAGTTGTTGTCATGGAGCCCAACCCGGCAACCCGGAGTGTCCTTGTCTGTACGCCGGCAGCACATCCAGTAGGAACGTCCGTAAGGCAGGTCATGGTGGTAAGGTTTGGGGTGCCAGCGGCACAAAGAAACGTCCCCGCGCTCATACTGACGCTTGCACTGTTTGCAGGGGTCGTCTCTGTAAAGGGGGTCCTGGTTCCAGCGTGAGTCCACCGCGCGCACCCCATAGGTTTCAATCAATGCCTTAAAGTAGTGACAGGTGCATTTAAGGGCTGCCAGAGAGCGAGTGGGTAGGTAGCTGAAGATGTTCACCATGATGTGGTCGGGGAGCAGCAACATATACTGTCTCGGCTCAAGGAGCCGCTGGATCTGAAAACGGATCTCCAGGAAGTCGTGTGACACGTGGCGGTAAAGGCGACACAGCGAAGGGTCAGAGCAGTCCTCCCCGACACCAGGGGAGTCTGGACGTGTCGCTCGCTCCACTGAGCCCACTGTCACCCCTGTGCCAGGACTGTTGTTGTTGGCGCAGTCCAAAGAGCACATTCCTGCCCCACTGCCAGATGTCTTTGCAGTTAGATCGTCCTCTGGTCCCCTAGGGGACTGAAGGAAAAAAAGCTGTCCAGGAGGGGGATCGTCTGATGATGGGTCAGTTGAGCTGCCAACACCACCACCACCTCCTCCCACTGTAGGCATTGCGAAACACACTGTTTCCTCCTGCACATTCTCAGTGCTGTCCTTGCCATAGAAGACACACTGGTCCACAGCACCCGTCACCACAACCTCCACGTGGAACCCAGTCACTCGTTCCCTCCCAACGCCCCCTTTCTTCTCCCCTGTGGAGAGCTCCTGGTTGGGGTCCGGGGTGCCGCAGGACGGATTGTCTTGATGGAGATCTACGTCTGGTTTGGAGGTGGAAGCTGTGGCGGCAAGCAGCAGACTACTGGGATCTCTTGAAGACGGACTGACGAGTTGGTACAAGTCACAGGTGATTTTCTCTTTGGCCCTGGCAGCTGCCTGGTTACTCGCTCCACCACAGCTCATAAACATACAGCGGGACCGGCCAGCTGGCTCTAGTTGTGAGCGTGGGTCCATATTTGACACTCTGAAAGCTATCCTCACCTCCCCATGGGTGTGGTTGGGTGGTGGAGGCGGTGTTACAGTCTCCCCTCTTTTGAGCTCCCCATCTCCACTTTGATTATTTGAAGGTACTCCAGATCCAGAACCTAGATGTAGGCGATTCTCAAGGGTCTGAGATTCAAAGTGTGCGATGGCCTGAGCCACCCTGCATGACTCCTGCTCCTCCTCGAATTCCTGATCCGTCTGGATTGGAGATGATGGCTTTTGGGATTCATTAGAGGCTTGACTGTCTGAACTGTTTGATTCAAACAGCATAGGAGAAGGGTCGGAGACTGTACCTCGGAGCAGAGTATGTTGGCTGTGGGGGAAGTCCTGACTATGAGAGGTGGTAAGCGAATGGTGATGGTGCTGGTTTCCATGAACTGCCACGATGCCCTGAAGGGCCATGGCGGTCCTCTGTTCCACCAAGGCAACCATCTCAGCCACAGATAGCAGATCTGTCTCATTCACACCTAATGCTAGCTCTTCGGGGCTTGGAGGTTCTATGAAGGTGTCAGGAGTCGGCGCTTGGGAGCGCGTTGGAGGGTCGTAGGATGAGCACCGCCTTCGTCTTTTGGCTTTACTGCAATCTGTTGCCCAGTTACCTTTAACCTGTGGAAACAGAAAGTGATGTAATTTGAGGCCACACACAATTGTCCAGCTACTCTGATAATGCTATATAGTGTGATGGTGATCATTTGCTACAGTACTTTCTATATACATCGTAATGACACTGAACGACATCCCCTCAACCCTATGATCGTAGTCACCCCTACATTAAAGGATAGTGGAAAGCCATCCAGATATAGTCAAATATATTTGAATGCATGTAGTTCATGAAATGCAAGCAGTCCTGTGTGATTTCAAGATGCAGAGACTACATTTGCATATTAATGTTTCATTTTATGTTTTTCTCTCCATAGAAGCTACTCCTGATCTGGCATTCTGTTTGGTTTTGGTACCTTCCTGGAGGAGGGCACCAGCTGAAATAATCATTAACTAAATGATGTCCCTTTTCTGTTATTAGCATTTTACTTTTATTAACATAAAACATAATAGTACATCAGTTCTGTTATCTTTAGTGCATTC